GGGCGGATTTAGGAAATTTGGGGCCCAGGCAAAGACAGGCATGGGGCCCTCTGGACTGAGAAGACAACACATAAAACAGATACAGACATTTTAACAGAGTAGACATACATTATTTGTCCTACCTTTTGTCCCTCTCTTCTTAGCACTTTTCTTGTTGTTTTCCTGTTTTCTTTTGTCCCTTTTCTTTCCATACTGGAAATGTACTCAGCTGACATTTAATGCTGTCACAAAAGGAATCAAAGGTTTTCCGATCACTAAGCCCATTCTACTGCATTTCTACTGCTCAGTGAAGGTTTGGGGTGCAATTCCCCGTCCGGGGTCTTTCTGCATGGAGTTTGCATGTTCTTCTCGAGCATGCGTGGGTTCTCTCCAGGTACTCCGGCTTCCTCCCACAGTACAAAAACATGACTGTTAATTGGCTTCTCTAAGGCCCCATCCACACGAAGTCAAAACGAACACGAAACGCTAATATTTTCCAGAACGTTTGTCGTAAAGACGGAGACGTAAAATAAATGTGATCGTCCACACGAATGCATGAAAACGCTGCAAAATGTATGCAAGGCCTGTAAGTGGCGCTGTGGTGCCAAAGCAAAAATAGGCGACGAAATGTTGGGCATGCGCACTAATATTTATACATGGTTGCCCTGTGGGTCCATTTTCGTGGTTCAGTCAAATTGAGGTGCTGAACTATGTCGTCGATATTGCTCTGTTCTTCCTGGAGATATTCCAGAAGAAGAAGAATCTTTTGTAAGCCCGATAGCAGGGTGAGTAGCATGAGCAGCAACCATTCAACACAGTACGGCGCCATTGTTGTTGTGATACTGTGTCGCGCATGCGTGTTTAGAGGCGACGCTATGACGCATGCGCGAAAAAAAAAAAAATGCGGTTAGAGCTTAAAGATGGAAACGCGAAAACGGCGTTTCAAAATCTTCCCACTCTGAAGGCTGAATTAAAAAAAAGATCGTTTACAGACCCCCGAAACGGCATTTTCGTATGGATGAGAGGCTGGTTTGGTGAAAAATTTGTGCGTTTAGGCCAGGGTTTGGCTTCGTGTGGACGGGGCCTAAATTCTCCTTAGGTGTGCGTGAATGGTTGTTTGTCCTGTTTGTCTCTGTGTTGCCCTGCGATTGACTGGCGACCTGTCCAGGGTGGACCCCGCCTCTCGCCTGTAGACAGCTGAAGATAGGCACCAGCACAAACCCTGTTTGGGATAAGCGTGACAGAAAATGAATGGATGGATAAGCCCATTATAACTTAGCCGATTGCTCCTTTCTGTGTTTCTAAAAATGCGACGGCAAAAGTAAATAAAACAGTCCCTCTTTTCGCTGAGACACACTTAATATTATAAGCAATATGATAGCGTTTTAACAAAAGGATTTTTAACAAAAACATAACAAATGTGCACAAAAAATAAGTAATAGCTTCATTAACCATGCATGTAAAAGGAGTTTTATGGGTTAGGGTGAATGGTAAGGAGGGGCGGGTCTTCGGCTCTTCACAACCGCTATTGAGCATTTTTACTTTGGATAAACTTTACATGCACAGTGCACTCTCTCAAACAACTACAGGTGCTTGGCTTCAGGTACTTAGAGATTCACTTCAATACAGAATACTGTATACATGTCATATTAAATACTACTAATACTTCAGCAATACTATGAAGGTGTTACTTTATTTTATCTCTTATACTATAGAAGTTAGTTGTGCTGTTCTTTTTTACATCTCTTTGTAGGTGATGAAGCAGACTGAAGATGTTTTATCATTGTCTCCCTTTTATCTCCTCTTTCTTTCATCTTTTTTTTCTGTTTTTCCTTTCCTGTTCTACTTACATTGCAGTGTTCTTATAATCTTTTTATTACTCCCTGCATGAATTCTAAAAAGCTATTTCTATGCATTAATCAAGCGGAACACTATGGCAATAGCCGCACTGCTGCACTTTTTGGCATCAAGACAATTATTCCTATTGCCACATTGCCAGACAGGACACTGTAATAAAAATTAATAAAAAAAAGTGTTATGGGGCCTTAGGCAACTGCCTAGTTTTGCTTAATGGTAAATCTGCTCCTGCCAAAACCTACAGGTGAGGAACGTCTTGGTTCTGTTCTGGTGTTTCCGGCTAGATTGAGCTCGGTTCAGAACGTTCTGATGGTGTGTCTAGGTTCTGACTGTGCTGTTTTGTTCTGCAGAGTTTGAGAACGCTGAGACCCTGCTGAACTCTGAGGTCCACATGCTGCTGGAGCACCGAAAGCAGCAGAACGAGAGCGCAGAGGACGAGCAGGAGCTGTCCGAGGTCTTCATGAAGACGCTCAACTACACGGCCCGGTTCAGCCGCTTCAAGAACCGCGAGACCATCACTGCCGTGCGCAGGTACCGCCTCTCTCCCTGCTAACCACTTCTTTCCATCAGAGGTCTGAGGTTCTGATCCACTTCTGCCGGTCTCCCCAGTCTCCTCCTGCAGAAGAAGCTCCATAAGTTCGAGCTGTCCAGTTTGGCCAATCTGTGTCCAGAAGCAGCTGAAGAAGCCAAGGCTCTGATCCCCAGGTGAGTCGGTACCAACCAGGTCCTTTTGGGTTTGCTGATTAAGCACAGCCTGTTGTTTTGTTTTTATCCCCTGATAACGGCTCTTTGAAGGTATTCAGTTCTCCCACACAGATCAGTAGCCCCGAATCCCACTTTCTCTGTCTCCGCTGCGCTCCAGGCAGCAAAGCCCACTGCCTCCACTGTTTCCCCCGTCTTGCTCCACTCCGACTTCCTCAGAGCTTGAGGAGAGCATTCGCTATTTTATTATTAAATTCATAGGAGCAAAACATGCAGAAATGAATGCTTAATTTACTGACATATTAAAAAATCCCCATCAGCATCCAGCAAATGTTCAGTTTCTGCCCAAATATTTTCTTTTTGTTGTGGATTTTTGTAACTGGGATAACTAGGATCATATAAAACTGTTTTTTTTTATGAACTATGTTTGTTCTCTGCTTCCAAACTCAGCATCTCTTCATCCAAACATTATATCGTTTTTTTTTTTTTTTTTTTGACTAGATTTGATAAAACTTTTAAGCCCCTCGGTATAAAATAAATATTTTGATGGAGATTAGAAATCTGCTTCCTGGTATGCTGAAGAACGAATAGTTTGCATCCAATCTTTTAAATAAACGCTGTTAGTTTTCTTTAAATATATAAGAATTATGCTCTAATTTGTAGTTAATCTGTCGTTACTATATTTTAACTTGACAAACCGGATCTTTTCGCCTTTCTTTTTCCTGTTTGGTGCGATTGCAATAGCGGATCTTGACCTGGCCAGCCCGTAGTGGAGCAAAAAGTAGCTCAGCTCCGTATTTTGACGGTGACGGACGTAAAAGGCGCATGTGGACGGAGACTTGCGAAGGAGTAGCGGTGGATGTGGAACTGCTCTCATTGATTAACATGACAGACAAGTAATTTTTTTTATTCAGAACCTGCCGATGTTTAATTGGTTACCCCAGCTCTAAAATGATTAATGTTCCATTTTAAAGATGCTGTGCTAACGTGGTAATAAATCACATTACATATTAATTTTAATTAAATGTTAAAGTCTTGTACCCATTCAGGTTTAAACAGTTAACAATGTTTCATTGAATAGGATAAAAATGTTACCTCTCTAGCAAACATTTTTGTGCAAAGGAAATTGGGCCTTTTGCACATCTTTGAACTCAAAAGTGTGGCTGTGCTTTAGGTGGTGGAGGTTGGATGTCTTAATTTGGGTATTCCTAACAGTTTTCAGACAAACTTTGCATTTTGTGTTCTTTTTCTCAACATCTATGGCTTAATTTTGGCCCACCAATCTGCGCGTACATTTAGAATAACCTGCATCGTTTAAACTCAGACATCCTCGCTCAAAACCGGTCTGCCGCTCACTCAACTCTGACAACGTGCTCTGGACTTTTTATCTGCCCACTCAGCTCCATCTCTGCTCTCGCTAAAGGCCAATTTATGTTTCTGACGCATAGCATCTGCAACCGTCAAATCTGTCTCTGTGCGTGACCACGCCCCCCGCGCAGAGGTTCTACAACTGTTGTTGCGCACCTAAAAAAACCTGACTACGCGTTGGACGGTTGCAAACCCACGCAGACCTCAAGCAGAAGTGCGCAGACAAAAAGTAGCTGTGATTGGTCCTTGGTATGCCTTTCCGGCTGTCTGTGTGATCGTCCTTCTCGATTCGGTGCCGGGGTACGCCATTTTTAAAAACCGAGGAACAACTATAATGGACAACTACGACGAAAGGTTAATCCAGGAGGTTCGGAAGTACAACCACTTGTACGATGCCTCAGACAAATTACATAAAAATCCCAAGGTCTCTGCCAAAGCGAAGTTCTCGTGACCAGCCGCCGAAGTTCTTGCGAGTTCTCGAATAGGCTCCCTCTTGCGCTTTGGCGGGAAACTGCTGTGCGTCTCTAGAAATTCCAGACCGACGGTGCAGAAGCATACCAGCAAATGTGTCTCGCGACTAGACGCAAGCGACATGTGATGTGTGCGGTTTCAGAAGTATAATCTGCCCTTTAGCTTCAAAGGGTTAATTGATTAAAATTTCGCTCACAGCTGCGTTAGACGCTTTTTCACCGGGCTCATCCCACTGATCTCTATTTATTAGATCACTGGCTTATCTGCCTTTCTATTTGTTTACACTTCTGACTGGATGGGCGAAGTCACATGACTAGACACACGCTGCCATGTCTTAAAGGTGAATGAAATACCGGCCTCCGGCGCACACTAGAAAAACGTCAGAATTATTTACCCACCAGGTCAATTTTGCGCCTGTTATCATAGTGAATGGCAGTAATGTGAAAAAAAATCCTGTTTATCGGCCAGCTCTATTCCCCTACTAACCCACAGTGATCACACAGATTATGTAAGTATTGATTAAATACAAAGAACAACAGGTTAACCAAATGAAGATGAAAACCAAGATGAATGAAAATACAACCAGAATAAATGAACAAAAAACTAAGGATAAAAAATAAGGATATTGGTAATATTACATTTAATTAAAAAATTATAGTTAAATTTGGCTTTTAGCTCTGTGGTGGCCCATTGAGCGTGACGCCCTCTGGTGGCCAGGACCAGTACTTACGCCCAGACCACCATTTTCACTACAACCCCTTCTTTGGTTTGGGTTCCATCATAACCGCCTCAGAACACACCGAAACAAAGTATCTATATTTCATAACATGAAATATAGACATGCTTTATAGGGTTAGTGTACATGGTTCTATCAGCAGCTGTTGGTACCTGGACCCGGGTACAGCCGTTTCTGGTTAAATGGCTGATTTTTAGCTGAACAGTTCACTAGCATGATCCGGTTCCTAAAGTGAGTCATCTCTTGAACTCGGTTCAGTTGGGAATCAGAAAGTTCTTTAACCTGCCAGAATTGGACCTTTCACAGTGTTAAATAAGGAAGTTTGGTCCCCCTGAAGGCGGGGAGCAAGTTCCTAGTATAAGTATTCTTAACTCAAACTGGGTAAAACCATATAAAAATGACTATAAAAACAGGAGTGAAAAAGTAACAGAGTTTATTCCAGTTCTGGTCGTTACAGGACAGAGAAATTGCTTGGAGTCGGCACAGCTGTGAGCTCAAAACGTCAGCAATTTAGCCCCGAACAAGTTCATCTTCTGCTTCGTATTCCTCATAAATCTATGTGTTGCATCAGGTGGATGCTTAGCTGTTGGTGTCAGAAACTGACGCCTATCCATTCCCTGACCTTTGTGCCTCTTGCCTCAGGATTACAGAAAGCTCTCCTCTATCAGTCCGGCTCCAGGATGTGTCCTCATCCTGTGTATCTTCCAAAGACAAGAAGACTGTCCTCATTAGATGGCCTCTGTTCACACAGCATAATCCACCATGTGAAAGAAGGCCTTCTACTCCATCTGATCTGGCTAACAGATTAACAATACACATGATCAATAAAGAATAAACCTAACAGCAGTTCAGACGGGTTCAAACCTCCACCGACCCGGTTCTGTTTTTCCAGTTTCTGTGTGTAATTAAGGTTCTGTTCTGGTTCCAGTTTGGAGGGACGCTTTGAGGATGAGGAGCTGCAGCAGATCCTGGACGACATCCAGACCAAGAGAAGCTTCCAGTACTGAGCTGCTGTTCTGATCCCGGGTACATGTGGACCACCTGGAGCTTAGAGTTCTGATCCGATCTGTCCCGTCGACTCCTTCAATAAAGTCTTTGTCTGTTTGTTTCTTTTTAACCTTGTCTGTGTTTTGTTGTCTTCATCTTTTAAAAGTTCTGGCCTTCATTGTCTGGGTCAGAACCAAACTGTTACACGTTCACACAGTACTTGGTACCACCCTGATCCAGTAAGGCTTCAGGCAGAACTCCAGCTGCAGTCCTCGCCATCCTCACCGTGTTCTGACCCGACAGCTTCCTCTCGTACTCCATCAGCTGCCTCCAGAACCCAGCGTTGGGTCGAATGAACGGCCGGCAAAGCAGAACCAGTTCATGGGCCTGACAGAGGCTAAGACCTTCAAACCTGTAAACAGAGCAGATTATGAAACCCAGTGGTTCTGAAGTTCTTGTTAGCCTGGTCCAGGATAGGACAAGGCCTGAGCCAAAATAGTACCTCATCAGGTAAGCCATGATCAGAGCCGGAGAGCGGCTCCTGCCCGCCGAGCAGTGGACCAGAGTGGACCCTCTCTGGTTCTGATGGATCCGTTCAGCCACCGGGTCGAAGTACAGACTCAGGGGGGCATGGGGTTGGTCCTGGACGGGAACATGGAGGACCTGCACGCCGTCCAGCGCCGGATACGAGATGTCCTGCAGTCCGGTAGCGTTGATGATGAGGGTGACATTCCTGCTGGTCAGAACCGCCTCGTTCAATGCTGAGTCCAGATCGCTGAGGAAGAGCCGGGCCGAGACTCTAGAGACCCGCATTATGATGGTCGGTCAACCTCGCAAGCTTTCTGGAAAATGGAGCGAAAGATTCAGAACCATCGGTGTGAAGCCAGGAGTTTTAGCGCCACATTGTGGTTAAACTTCAGTTAGTCTGAAGGAGGTTTTCTAATCTTGATAAAATAAACAAACTGAGGCGACTTTCTGTTCTGGAAACTCAAATATTAGCTGAGAAAAGGATAAATATCTCCTCAAATTGTGTTAAAGCTCTTTAAATCAGCCTTTAGGTTGGTCTGCAGAGCTCCATAAAAGTGAAGAGAAAATGATCTGTTAAACACTGAAAAGATTGCATTTCACAAAAATAACAGAAAATAAAAAAAATTCATTAAAAAAAAACTATTTGAAAAAATGTAAAAAAGAAAAAGTTATTCAAAATACATGTTTTGATGATTCAGTTTAATGCAGCAGCTAGTGATTATTTAAATCTGTTTTGATCCAGATGGTTTCACAAACTGGTAATACAAGCCTTAATATATCAGAAACAATTTTTTTTTTAAAGCATATTTCTTTTTTTTTTTACTTAAAGACACTAAAAGTGTGATGTCAGGAGTGGGATTCGAACCCGCGCCTCCAGAGGAGACTGCAAGGTGAACATTACAATGTTATGAACCCATCGGGAACCCCCACATTCACTAAAACCGATCTATGAGTCAAGATCACGTGTCGATCATGTTCGGTCCTGCTCTAGAAACTTGTCTGTCCCTCCCTAGTTTAGGATATTTTCGGCAGGGTTCAGTTCCCCTCTTGCTGCTTTAGGTTTCGTTTTTCTTTCATCATTAGAGGCAGCGGCTACAAACGGAGAATAGACCGGTTCAGGAAAGAGAGCACACGATCGGGCTAACAGCACTTCCATCCAGGTAAGGCTTCCTTTCATTTACTCACCCGTTCGGGTAAACCCTTCTGAAATTAACATAACCACGCCAGACCTTGCACTTTAAGTCATAAACAATGCTCCAAATTAATCGCGAACTAAAATCTCGCGGTTTTCTCCGAGACTGGACGAAATTGCTGTCTATCACGCAGTGCGTTCAGACCAGACTTCATATAAAGAACCACAAATTTATATTTTTCTTCTTAAAAAAATCCTCTTTGAATTACTTCAGTATAAAATCTTTATTTAGTCTCAAACTGCGACGTTTCGGCCCATTTGATCCTGAGTGTTTACATTGTTTTCCTAACTTTATAGATAGTTTTTACATTATGAAACATTGCGCTACACAAAAAGCACCATTGCGATAATAATTATGGTATTTTATGAATTCGTTTGAGCGTTTAAAAGTCACTTATAGGCAAATATATTATGAAATAATCTAGTTACGTGGTTTAAATTTGTAACTAAATATAATAAACACTCTTCAAAGTGAAGCGGCCACAAACCTCTGCTAGTCGCCATAATACAACAGTTCTTTCTCCTTTTTTTATTTATTACTTCTGAAGACCGAGCAATTAGCAAACTAATAGAAAAAGAAAGTTCGTCACCACTTAGACATGATTCGCACCACTTAGAAAGTGCAGGCGCAGCGAAGTTAGCCGCTTCCTTCAGAGGGCGATTGTTATGGAGATTCTCACTGGATTAGGGGGCATAACTGCTCTGACAACAGAAGGATTACTGGAAATAATTAATGAGTCAGGCAAAGCGTTTTTCAACTGCTCTTCAATAGAATAATTAAAAACAAACTAATGAAAAAGGCCTTGAAAACATGTTGGTGCCCTTAACTTAATATCTGGTTGCACAACCTTTTGAGGCAATCACTACAATCAAAATTCCTGTCACTGTCTACGGCGTAGGTTCACACTGCAGCCTGAAGTGACCCAAATCCGATTTTTTTGCCCTTAGGCGACCTGGATCTGATCTTTTCATGGCAGTCTGAACAACACAGATCCGATCTTTTGCAATCCGACCCAGGCTGCTTGGCTATGGGGTCCTGAATCCGATACGAATCTGATATTTTCAAATGCGACCTGTGTCTGAACAATCATTTCGCATTCATCCAACCTGAACGCCATTAGTAACTGTAATAGGTCACTATTCTGTTTCTTGCTAAACAGAAGCGGCAAGAAAAATAAGCACCATGGCGGACGATGATGCGGAGAGCAGTATTTTGTTTAACCATCTTGAAAAGATTGAGGTTTTAAGGTTTGGGAAGATCGCTAGATGCGCTCCAGCGCTACCATCCATGTTTACTTCTGGAAACAGAGCCTGTGGCTTCTGACGTCATTGCGTCCTCTACTGCGCATGCGGGACACTTAAGCTGTATGAATGCTGTTTACACAGGAGTTTTGTGAGGGACTTGCACAAACCAGCCAGAAAACCACTGAAATTTTTCAAAAAAAGTCTTAAATTATTCCAAATATTTTCAAAAAATTATAAACTGGGTCCAAAAAGAGGTCAACAAAACAGAATTCAATTCAGGCTTTAGCATAAAGAACTCAAGCACAAACTGACCAAAGGGAAACTTAAATAGCCGCTGATCAGGCCACTGTTGACACACAAGGGGGGTAACTGACTAACAAACTAATAAACAAATGAACTTAATTAAACATATAAATACTGGCCAGACACTAAATACTTTTTAAATTTAGCTAAATAACAAAATTACCCAAACTAAGAATATTTAAACAAATAATAAACAAATTTCCCTTCCCATTACAAATGGTTTGATCTACCAATTAGCCTGCAACCAATTGAGGAAAGCTGGAGCTCATTGCAGCTCTCCAGCAGCAGATCCCAAGGAAACTGGCAACTCAAAGAAGAAAGAAATGAATCAATTGCATCTTGACAAAAAAAAAAAACAACAACCTGGCAAATAAAGTTAACTAAATGTGTGCACTGCAAAAAAGTCAACTTAAAGTCAGGCTAATGAAAATATATGAAATGTGCACCTGATTTTTGAAAATGAAAAATGTAAAAGTTACCACACAGCTTCAGGGTGTGACAGCAGGCTGTCACAAGTGTAAACAGGCAAACTGCTCCAGTTATCTCAGGTTTTAAAGCTGCCCTTTCCAGATGGAACGTTTCTTCTCCAGCCTCGTCTACTTCAGAACAGTCCAATGTTTTCTTCTCAGTTTGTATTCAGGACAGATTTGTACCAATAGGATCTTAAAAAGTCAACGACTCTCTTCTATCAGCTGAGTTTCCTTAGAAAACATTTAACCGATTTCTCTGGGTGATTAAAGTGAACTGACTCTGTGCAGTGCCTTAAGATGACACGTTTTATGAATAGAATCATTGTAAATAAACTAAATTGAATTAAATAGGATCATGTTGGTGTTTGAAATAAAGACGGAATTTTGAATTTGATGCCTTTTAGAGACGAGATCAAGAGTTTGCTGAAGGTGGATTGTCTAGAGTCAGGAGATCACACAGACCCAAGATTGGATTGATTTAATTAAAGATGATCAATCACTAACCTGACACTGATTATTCAGAGTCATGTGAATAATAAATAAGTTCAATCAGAACCAAGAAGCTGGACTTTCTAATGTGGTTTTTAAAAAGGGTTTGAATCCAGAGTTCTTGGTTGTTTTATCTCAAAGAGCTGGAACTAGAACCAGAAAAACAAGCTGGAGGTTCTACTGGGTCAGGGTACCCGCTGGTAAGATGAAACAATCCATATGTAACGACTCTAAAAGCCTAGGGTCAAATACTTCAGAAGAAAAGCTTCTGCAAGGATTTGGTTCTACTTAGTGGATCAGAACTGATAAAATCAGGAAATGTGGTTGATCGGGCTGTTTGTTTGTAATTATTAAAAGTGATTCTGAACTTAGATCTTCTTTGTGGTTCCTTTTGGATTACAGACTAGATGACCACGCAGAAGCCAGCTGCTCCAAAGCAGAGACCCATCATTCCACAGGTCTGCTACCACCCATCGATGCTGACCGCAGGAAACGGAATCTCAGGTTAAAAAACAATAGAAAAAAAAAGTTTGTCACCACTTAGAGATTAGCTGAAAAAGAAAAGTTGCTGCCCTGTGCAAGCTAGCTGATAAAAGAGCCACCTTGTGTTAACCTTGAGCCAGTTCCCCTCTATGATGGGAGAAAGTGCAGGCACAGCGCAGCGAAGTTAGGCGCTTCCTACAGAGGGGGACTCTTCACAGGACCGGGAGGCATAACTGCTCAGACAACAGAATTCACGAAAATTAGTCAAAATAATTCATGAGTCAGGCAAAGCGTTAACAGAATAATTAAAAATAAATTAATGAGAAAGGCCTGGAAAAAATGTTGGTGCCCTTAACTTAAAGTTATAGGGCAGTCATGTTTAAAAGTCAAATCATTCTGGCTTAAACATGTATATAAATGTACTCTTTATCAGACTATATTGTCTCAAAAGTTAGTATATTTAAAAAAAAATCCTGTTTTAAAATCTGCAGATTTTTTTTGTCATCTTATGCAGGCCAGTTAGTTATACGGCAGCTTGTACACCTAAATTCGGCCAATCATATATCAACGTCATCTGTCAATCAAATATTTTTGGTCATAGCATCTTGATTCATAATATACGTCATTCATAATATTCTAATATACGTAATGGTTGAAATAAGAATCATTTCCTTTCCCATTGAGTTCCGTCCCAGTGTTCACGAGAATCGACGTCTGTGTCTTCAGCAGGCGTAGAGCTAACAGCATGGGCTTAGGTTTGCATAGGGACCATAGGGACATGTCCCCACCAAAATTTTGGACCGACCTATTTGTCCCTACCAATAATTCGATTTGAATAAATGTTTGTAATTTACAGTTCAGCATAGTGGATCACACACGGCCACTGTGTGTGATCACAGCCTATTCTTTTTCTCTCGCAGCTCCGCAGCTTAGTAGCTGCTGCTGCCGCTCCGTCTGAGTGCTTACCGGTCTTTTCTGTCCCTTAAATCAATAACTGTGCTGTTTAACTCCACTCTCATTGGTTGTTCTGCCTCAAGTTCCACCTTCCGTCTTCCTGATTGACTGTTTTCTAGTCCGTATGCGCGTGTGTGTGCTTTGAGCACGAAATAAAAAATGTATTTATGCTAGTTACTTTAAATAATATTAGGCTACGAAACTAGTCCTAATGAAAAAAACCTTAATTCTATCTACACTAAAACAGACAAAAGCTGCTGATTGCTGATCTAAGCCACAGCCGACTGAAAAAGAAAATATGAGGGTTTCCCTTTTAACAATACTTCGTTGTTATTACCGTTTTCATTTTATGATTAACCTGTGAGGCAGTTCAGCTATAAATAGCAGGTGTTAATTCTTTTATAGAGTATAAAAACACAAGATGGTGCCTTAACATCTGATATTTTTTGTTAAGAAAGCATAATTAGCATAAAAGCATAATATTGCTATTTCTTTGAATATTTCTATTTTTAAAAATAGTATAAAGACAATAACAAACAGAGGAACACTATTTACATTGATTTTAGTTTACATAGATTTCCACACAGTCCATTACAAACATTAGTTTTTGGTAAAAAATGCTTGAATCCGGCTGTTTATTTTGTAAATTATTGCATTACAGACAAGATGGTTTGATATTTTTTGTTCAATAATTATTAAAAGTGATTTTATATTGGAATAAATTTAGTCTTATTCTTAGTGTTGTCTTTTTTAGATGATGCCACTAAATGTAAATACAATAAATTATTTGCCATTCCTTCAATGTGTTATTTTGCGTTGTTTCATGATACAGAGAGCGCATTTAAAAAATAAGAGTGTTTCACCTGTTTACCTTTGTACAATTATATATCTTCAGAAGAAAATACAGGATAAATCCACATATATCTGGCATATTTAGACTATATTTGGTTAAATTGGTACATATTTACCTACTGTCTTAGTCACAGGTAAGTTTAAATGCAAACCTTTTCAAAGTGGAGAAAAGTCCTAATTCCACATTCTTCAGAGCCGGTGATGTTTTAAACATTGATAAACAACATCTAGTGTGTAGTGCTTTTAAAATTAGTATAAATGTAGCAAGAAATGCTGCTGTTTTCTTAAAATGAAATGCACCCGATGCTTACGTCTAGCATAAAAAAAGCATGCATAATTTTGCATAGGTAAAATGACATTAATGAAACTAAGGACCAATAGTGTCTCTACCAAAGTGGAAATCAAACCTACGCCCTTGGCTAACAGAACTGGCAGCGTTGCGATACAAGGGCTCAAACATGTACGCTGTAAGCCTTCTACACCAAACCAAGCTTCTGCCGCCCTGCCGTCCTCTTCCACAACATCTTTGACCCCGCTTTCCTCCTCTAAATAAAAAATGTATGACGGAGGAGACTCATCCACGACCTCCGACACTAAACTCTCCTCCTCTTGCATGTTTCCTCTGTCCATAGCGTTCCTTGACAGTGTCGTTTCTAAGTCACCAATTTAGTGCTACTTGGTCCCAATGTAATTTCCCATTGGGAACCTACTAGCTCTAAGTTGCTAACTGGTTAGCAAGATGCTTCCGAGAAACCTACCACAACCAAAACGCTTGCGAACCTTCTGCCACAAAAATCCCGCCCCCTTGATAAACTACCAATCACATTCACTTTATTCACTTGTGTAAAGTCGTGCTCCACTCGGGAGAATTTGAAATGCAAAGTTGAAATGCAAAATCGTAGGAAAACAGCAGTTTCCCTACGATTTTAATATTTGGTTGCACCACCTTTTGAGGCAATCACTACAATCAGGATTCCTGTAACTGTAAATGAGACTTCTGCTCCTTTCAATTGGTTTTCTGGTTCAATCGTCATCAGCAAAGGGCAACAGTTAAGGGCCTCAGGTTCGAAGGCTTCCTTTTCTCCTCCTCCTTTGCTCAATAGGATGTAGGTGAGGGCTCATAGGAGACTATTTCAGAGCAGACCAATGTTTTCCTCTCAGCCATTCTTTTGTTTATTTTTTTTTCTGGTGATTATCCTGTTGACATGCAACTGAGACCAAGCTTTCTGACAATGAGTGGCAGATATTTCTCTAAAAATCCTTTATAGTCTTGAGATTTCACTGAACCAGGCAGTGTTTGCTTTGCTTATTCTGGCACAAGGTGTGCCAGAATAAGCAAAGCAGTCCCAGAGCATAACAGAGCTTCCTCCATGTTTCACAGTAAGGACGATGTTCTTTCTTGATATGCTTAATTTTTCGATCTGTGAACGTAGAGCTGATGTTCCTTGGTAGAAAGTTCAAAGTTCAGGGTCAAATGCTTCACACAAGGATTTGGTTCTACTTTGTGGATCAGAACTGATAAAGTCAGCCTGCTGTGGTTGATCTGGCTTTTTGTTTGTAATTATTAAAAGTTATTCTGAATTTAGATCTTTGTTCTGGTTTCTTTTGGATTACAGACCCAATGACCACGCAGAAGACAGCTGCTCCAAAGCAGAGACCCAATATTCCACAGGTCTGCTACCACCCATCGATTCGGACCGCAGGGACCGGAATCTCAGAGGCCGAATCCAACCAGAGGTCAACAGCTTCTGCTCCTCCTCGTCCTCAGACCAAAACGCAGCCTAAGCCACTGAAGATGAACCAGGATTCTGGCAGGACCAGACCAGCTGACAAAGACCCAGAATCTGCTGGAGACCAAGCCTCAAGAAAACCTACCCCGAGGAACAGAATAGGTGCTGCTCGTCACCCCCATAGCAGAACTGAACCTAAACAGGCTTTGGAGAACCAGGGCTCTAGCAAGACAAGTCCTGTTTCAAAACCTAATCTCAATGGAGGACCAGTACCTAAGAGAGATTTGGGTTCTGCTGGAGACCAAGATCCTCCAACACCAGATCAGGTTCCTCTGGATTTAAGGGCTAACCTTAATGAGACACTGGTGCAGCAGGTGGAGGTTCTGACCCGTGGTCAGAGCACCAACCAGGCCTGGTTCGACTGGAGGAAGAACCGGATAACGGCATCAGTGGCTCATCGCATTGCCCACTCCAAATTTGTTAATGGAGAGAGCAGAGCTCCGCCCACTTCATACCTGGCTGCAGTCACTGGTAGGCTCCGCCCACTGAAACCTGGACCCTGCTGCTGTCAGTTCTAATCTTACGAATCTGTTAACTCTACAGGTGAGGGGCCCAAAGTCCAGACCAGAGCTATGAGCTGGGGGATCCAGAAAGAGGCTGAGGTTGTCCGCAAGTACGAGGTGAGTTTATGAGGTGGTCGCAACGGCATCACGAAGGAGAGAAGTCATTGACATTGTACGTAATGATGTCATTGCTGATGTTCTACACAGAAGTGGAAGAGACGGGCGCTGGGGCGGCCCGTTAAGGTCCGGGACTGCGGCCTGTTCATCGACAGCGAGCGTCCCTGGCTGGCAGCAAGTCCTGATGGCATCGTGGTGGACGAGAGCGGCAACAAGCTGCTCTGCCTGGAGGTCAAATGTCCCTTCAAACACAAAGACCGAACCGTGGAAGACGCCTGTAGAGGCGACCCCGCCTTCTGTCTTCAGCTGCAGGAGGACGACAGACAGATGCCTGGGGAGGTAACACCTCAGCATGTTTCACCTCTGCCTCTGTCTCACCCTTCGTCTCCGTCTCACCTGTCCTCTCTTGTTTCCTTATGTATCTCCAGCCGCCAGTTTATGTCTTGAAGACATCCCACTGCTACTATACACAGATCCAGGTCCAGCTGGCGGTTACGGGTCTGCAGCAGGCCGACCTCGTCGTCTTCACCTTGAAGGAGATGGCCATTGTACCCGTGGAGTTTGATCCCCAACTGTGGGATGAGACAGTGTCCAAGCTGGAGTTCTTCTACAGGGACGCCGTCCTCCCTCATGTCAGGCAAAAACTCCAGCAGAATGCAGCAGCAGCCACAAGGCCAGAACTCTAGAGACAGAGTCCAATCAGAGCTGTCCCGTAGTTGGTCAACTGGACATGTTTTGAGATATTTCTTTCCAAAACATCCTGGGTTCTGGCTGTAGGTGTGATAAAGACTTTTATGTCAAAAAAAGGGTCATTTTATGTTTTTGTTTTATTTTTTAGCTTGTTCTAATTTCCTTGCTGGGTGACGGATTTGGCTTTGCTTAGATAAAACGGGTTAGACTTTGGAACTGGAGCACCACAGACAATCGAACAAACCAAATCTGGTTTGTTGAGCACAGTAGCAGAGGTTTGACCTAAACTAGAACCAGTACAACGTGTGACAACTGGATCAACTGCAAACACTTTGTCATTATTGAACTTCTGACTACAGCTTCCCAGTTCAGAAAATAAATATACTACCTGAAATCTGTCTCTGTTCATCATTACAAACCTCTTATGTCCAGTTAGCTGGTTATCAGTTATCAGTGAAGGCATAACTGGGATAACTACATTCATAAATCAATGGATCAACAACAATTAACTTACTGTATCAATTAGCCGGTCACCAGTTGCTGATTATTAAAGATATTTATAAATTATCTGATCTTTATCAGATAATTATCTGACATGAATTATCTGAAAGATGATAAATGAATTAACAGACCAATAATGGATCATCAATAATTGTCGATCAGTTAGCAGAAGATAAAGTGTTCAACTATTGGTTAGACCGAAGATAACTGTTAAGCAATTAGAGTAGTATTTTAAATATTTTTGTAATAATTATTAAGTAGCTATAAAATATGTAATCAAATAATAACTCTTTGTCAATTTAACCATGGATTATTTCAGTATAAGGTAAAAAATCCACTAATTTAATCTCCTACTTCAGCTGAACCATCCTGTTTCACCATAACTAAACCTGATAACTGATCCAAATAAAATCAGATGAGCTGCAAAAGTGATTTATTGCTTAATTTATTTGTTTAAAATAAAAATAAAAAAACAAAATTTTCTCACAAGGAAGGTCTGAGATATTTTACATTTGCAGTAAATCACTAATTTCTCACTTTTTTCAGCTTGGACAGCTCAGAAGTTAGACGTTTACCATTGCAGCACCTTTTTTTTTTCTTTTTTTTAGCCAGGGTGAGGAAATGTGTATGTACATTGCTCCTGCGTGTCTCCAGATTAGGAGAGCAACCCAGATCATGACCATCTTAAAATCTCCAAACAAACAAACAAAGTAATATTTATTACCAAATATGTCCCTGCTCCGGGTGACAAAAACCTGTTTCTCTTGTTCAGGCCATTTCACTTCCCTCCCTCTCTTTACATTATGACACATTCAGATCAAACGAGCTGTGCTGTGCACGAACACGTTAAATGATCGGCGTTCATATCTTTAGTGAATGCTGATCTGGACGGATCTGTTTTGAAGTAGTGAACATGAAGGAGAGTGACGTTCTCTCTGAGCATAATGAGCAACACACACAGTTCACGTTCAATTGATAACGACACTTTTCATTGTTTAACTCCAGGTTTTACTGCAAGAACCTCCCGTCACAAAAACAGTTTTTTCCCATCTGCTATCGGCCTTATCAACAAGGCTAAGACCCGCCCGTGACACTGGACAATGTTTCTCTCCCCCGTTCAGGATTTCTGCGTTACATTAAAGCACAGTCTGCTGTTTCTATATAGCTTCTGTGTATATATATATATATATATATATATATATATTTATATATATTCTATCTTATTTTGTTTTGTTTTGTTTGTTTTTTTTTTTGTCTGCACCAACAACACCAAGTCAAATTCCTTGTAAGTGCAAACCTACTTGGCAATAAACTTGATTCTGATTCTTCTGAATTATTACGGAAAACAGCATGACAGACCAGCATGTCTACTGCTAGTACTATTCTGTGTGATTCAGAATCATCTCCTTCCAGTTTTGCAGAGCGCTTTGCAGAGTTTTATGAACTAAGAAAGGAAGAAGACTCATGTTTTTGTGCAATCTGTGCCCACTGGGACTTAACAAACAAGTCTGTACGTCAGCCAAATCCACCTATCATCCTCCGGTCATCCTCTCCTTAATACAGTGCAGGTGCCCTCTCCCAAGTGAAGAAAAATACCCCCAAAGCATGATGCTACCTGCCCCATGCTTCACAGTAGGGATGGTTTTCTTGGGATGGTTCTCATCTTTCTTCTTCCTCCAAACACGGTTAGTCGAATTATGACGAAGAAGTTCTATTTTGGTCTCATCTGACCACATGACTTTCTCCCATGCCTCCTCTGGATCATCCAAATGCTCATTGGCAAACTTAAGATGGGCCATGACGTGTGCTGGTTTAAGCAGGGGAACCATCTGTGCCATGCATGATTTCAGATCATGACGTTTTACTGTATTACCAACAGTAACCATGGAAATGGTGATCCCAGCTCTTCTGAAGTCATTGACCAGCTCCTCCCGTGTAGTGCAGGGCTGATTTCTCACCTTTTTTTAGGATCTTGGAGACCCCATGAGGGGAGATCTTGCATGGAGCCCCAGTCTGAGGTGATTGTCATGTTTAGCTTCTTCCATTTTCTAATCATTGTAGTGGACCATTATTCACCAAGCTGCTTGGCAATTTCCCCATAGCCCTTTTCAGCCTTGTGAAGGTGTTCATTTTTTTTCTCTAGTGTCTTTGGACAGCTCTTTGGTCTTGGCAATGTTAGTAGTTGGATTCTTACTGATTAAATGGGGTGGACAAGTGTTTTTATGCAGCTAACTACCTCAAACAGGTGCGTCTAATTTTGAATAATAAATGGTAACAGATCTTTGAGGGGTGAGAAATCTAGCTAATAGACGTGTTCAAATATGTATGTGCAGCTTGATCATACAAATAATTAGTTTATAAAATCATGTATTGTGATTTCTGGATTTCTTTGGGTGTTCAAATACTTCTTTTCCTCACTGTATATGGCACTGAATGTGAAACGTAAGAAATCATTTTGGATCCAGGTCTTTTCCGCAGAACCTGAATGTTCTAGTATGTTGCTGAAGTTCTGTGTAATTCGGCTTAATAAAGGCTTCACTGCACATACAGAATTCTGAGAAAAAGTCAGAATTTTGAGATTAAAATCAGAATTCTGAGAAAAAAAATCTGAATTCTGAGGGAAAAAAAGTCAGAATTCTGAAAGAAAAAGTCAGAATTCTGAGATTAAAGTCAGAATTTTTAGATTAAAGTCAGATCACTGAGAAAAAAAAATCCGAATTCTGAGAAAAAAAGTCAGAACTCTGAGATTAAAGTCAGAATTTTGAGATTAAATTCAGAATTCTGAGGAAAAAAGTCAGAACTTTGAGATTAAAGTAAGAATTCTGAGAAAAAAGTCAGAACTCTGACTTGTTCTCATACTCAAATAAAATTTAAAAATAAGTTAACCTTTTTTCCAGTGGCCCTAATCCTCTTCCGTAGATTCCTTTTTGAAAATGTAAATTAATGTTTTATTGTTCAATAAAGTAAAAAAAAAAAAAAAGATGTAAAGGCTGATGAGGGCGGGACTTCCGGGTATTGACGTCAGTGCGCAGACTTACCATTGGGTCCAATGGCGGGCCGCGGCTGTAGAACGTTGTTTTTTTTTTTTTTTTTTTTTTTTTTTTGCCCATGGAGCAGCTGCAGGAGGGTGAAGACAGCTGTAAAATACAAACACGGGTAGTTGGAGAACTTTAGAAAGAGGAGACACCGCTTGAAGCTCAGCTGGATCCTCTAAGTAACTGTTAGAGTAAAGTTTGTAGAAGAAAAAGCTGACAGAGATGTGGAGTCAGCAGGTCAAACAGCGATTGGATCCAGCAGATGAGCAAAGACAAGAAATACTGGATGCTGCTTTCAGCCTAGAGGATCGGCTGCACCCATCAGGTCTGGATGTTGACATTCTGTAGAGCCGCAGCAGTGATCTGAGCCACAGCATTCAAAACTACGGATGTTAGCTTCTAGCTAAAATTAACTCTGCGCGAACACGGAGTATTACGGTAAAAAAAAAAAAAAAAAAAAACCGTCTGGGATTTCACAGTTTGATCTTTGTTGTGAAACACAGATCAAACCCGGACCTTATTAGTTTATAATGTATCTAAACAGATACACGATGTATGTATCTAAGCAGGTATATTATCATAAACAAACACTTAAGTTGATGCTCTAAAGGTGATTATTTAATTACATATTTCCATAACCCATTGGGAAGTAAAAGGTGAATAATCAAAGTTTGGTTAAATAAATATTTCACTTTTGATAATGGACCTTATAATTCCAACTGGATGCTCCTCTAATCACTGATTCATTCTGATCATCCTAGGACGTTATTTTTAATAACAGCAATAAAAGATTTCTTGTTATTTTTAAGAATTAAGAAACAATATTGAGCGTATATCTCTGTGTTACTCCCTTGTATTTTTTTATTTTTTATTTCTTATTTTTATTTTGTTTTTCATCGTGTGTGATACATGTACACTTGCACCTTAATTCTTATTTATCTTGATATACTGTATATATCTTGATATACTCTATATACAGTGCTTGCTTGTTTATTCTTAATGCACCTTTTCCACTTTGTTTGCACCTTCTTTAATTACTATGCTAATATGTGACAAGTGGATTTCTCTGCTGTGAGATCAATAAAGCTTATCTAATCTAATTTAATCTAATAATAAAATGATTGTTCCTTATGTTCCTAACAGAGCACTTCACTCTCAGTCTGCAGGTTCACTAGTGGTTCCTAGAATTTCTAAAAGTAGAATGGGAGGCAGATATTTTAGTTATCAGGCTCCTCTCCTGTGGAACCAACTACCAGTTTTAGTCCGTGAGGCAGACGCCCTGTCTACTTTTAAGGCTAGGCTTAAAACTTTCCTTTTTGATAAAGCTTAGAGTAAGAGTGGTTTAGATTATCCTGAGCTATCTCTATAGTTATGCTGCTAAAGGCTTAGACTGCTGGAGGGCATAGGGACCCCCATTTCGTCATTCTGCTTCATTCTATTTCTATTCTCCCACTCTGCAGAATCTGTTAGTTCAATCTCTAACGTTCTGCTCTCTCTGCTTTTTCTCATAGTAGCTTCATCTGGTCTGTTTCTGTTTGGCTGTGACTCCATCCTGGAGAGAAATATCAGCTGTGCTGCTTCCATTAACACCTTTGTTTATAGATGCTGGAGATCGGCTTGTTTTCCAGTGTAGTCCTGTTTCTCTGACCGTGACTGGCCGGATGTGCTCTCTTCATCCTCTGACATGGGAGCTGGCTCGGCCTTTTACAGCTGCTTTCTGTATCTCTGCTTCTGTCTCCTTGAACCCCAGTCGGCCTCGGCAGATGGCCGCTCACACTGAGCCTGGTTCTGCTGGAGGTTTCTTCCTCTTAAAAGGGAGTTTTTCCTCTCCACTGTCGCTACAAGCATGCTTAGTGTGAGGGATTGTATTTGAGTCAATGAGTCGATGCAATCAACTGGTTTTCCTTAGAAAACTTTGAATCAATTTGACTGGATGATCTGGTCAACAGTAAAGTGCCTTGAGATGTGTTGTGAATTGGCACTATTTAAATAAACTGAATTGATTGAATTTCAATAAAAAAAACATCAGTATGAGAGAGTTCTTGCAGTTACAGCACAGTGTCTGGCCTTTATCGCACAACTTTGGGAGCTTTTATAAACATATATCTAAACATTGTTTTGCAGTTAGTTGCAAAATCAGTTTTTATCTGTAGTCCCAGGGCAGGTGGATAATAACAACACACAAGAAAAGGAAACTAAAACAGCTGTGATAGATAAGCAAAACAGCAACAAATGACTCCTCAAACAATCTAAAACCGCAAACAGCTCAGACAATAACAACACAGACTATTCAGGCACAAAATCAACTAACGCTGTGCATGCAGATTTGATTATCCAGAGCGAGTGTCTTAGGGTGGTAATGTTCCTCATGTTTGGTAGACAAGTCATCAAGGTTTTTTAACACTGTTTTTCTCTCTGAAAAACACACCTGGCACCATCTCTAAAGTCGTAGGGAAATCATATTTAAATGTCAAATCATTCTGGCTTAAATATAAATGTACTCTTTATCAGACAATATTGTCCCAAAATGTAGAAAATTTCTATAAAAAAAAAAAAAACCTGTCTCAAAAACAGTTAGTTATACCTCAGCCTGAACATGTAAATTCGGCCAATCATATATCAACCTTCTTCTGTCAATCACATTTTTTCGGTCATAGCATCTTGATTCATATGTCGTAGCAAATAAACGCAACGGTTGAAATAATAATAATTTCCTTTCCCATTGAGTTCCGTCCCAGTGTTCAGGGGGATGGACGTCTGTGTCTTCAGCAGGCGTAGAGCTAACAGAACTGGCAGCGTTGTGAGACAAGGGCTCAAACACGTACGGCTGGAAGCCTTCTACACCAAACCAAGCTTCTGCCACCCTGGCCTCCTCTTCCACAACATCTTCATCCCTGCTTTCCTCCTCTAAATAAAAAATGTATGACTGAGGAGACTCATCCTCGACCTCCGACACAAAACTCTCCTTCTCTTGCATGTTTCCGCTGTCCATAGCGTTCCTTGACAGTGTTGTTTCTTTTTTTTTGAGTTTTTATTAATTAATTATTACCCACAGTTCCATTGCCATAATGCCAATAAGGGCTTACCCATCTACTTCTGTTAAGGCTGTGGATAAGTAGTGACAGGGCATTTATTGTAAAGTTAATCGATTGGATGAAATAGAGGGAAATGGTGTAATTATGAGAAAGGGATGAGCCCTAAATATTTGGGCTGTGCTTAGAGAGTGTCTTTTGAGAAGTCGTATTGTTATGAAAAAAAAAAGTAATTTTACTAAGACAAAATATTTGATAGTTATTGACCTAGCTCACCCAAACTGCAGCCTCATGATCCAGCCGTGTTAAAGGTTTTTCCTGGTAATGTTCTGACTTTAATCTTGTTATGTCTTTGACTTCCTAGTGTTACAGCTATTTTCTAATATGTTATGACTGTATTCTGGTACGACTTTAATCTTATAATATGGTTTTGTTCTCATAGACTTGATATTATTTATATTATCATTTTATAATTTTAAACCTTTAATTTCATGGTTTTATGAAATTATTTTCATAGACTTGATATTAGGAATAAATTTTCACATGTTATGAATTTATTTCCCATATTATGACTTTATTCCAGTAATGTTAAGTTTTATTATGGCCTTTACTTTGTATTGTTACAATTTTATTCAGGTAATTCTACGACTTTAAATTACTCTTGTAATTTTAGGACTTTAGTTTGGTAGTGTCACAACTATATTATTATAATGTTAAGACTGTATTCTGGTGCAACTTCAATACCAAGATGTTACAACTTTATTGTTGTTGACCTAATATAATTCTTTTATTCCTGTTATATGACTTGATTTAAATTTTTTGCTTTTCAAAATAATTTTCATCCAGGGTAGAATCCTTCCAGATCCCCTAGTGGGGTTTAATCTGTAGTCATAACGGTTAATATGATAAAAAATACTAATATTTAGAAACATTCTTGCCACAGAAAAGTTAGCAATGCCACACTAAACACCTCTTTTATTTAGCATGTTTTACCATAGTTTAATAAAATTTGACTCAAACTGTTGATCTTCATGTAAATCCTGTGTTTCCCTACAGATGTTCATCACACTGCTTTGGTTAAAGAAGATGCTCCTAAAGAACAAAGTCCTGATTCGGACCTTGAGGACCCAAAACCCATCCAAATAAAGGAGGAGCAGGAGGAACACTGGGATAATCCAGAGAGAGAGCCGCACGGTGTGGGGGAGGAGACCGACGGCAGTAGTATGTCACTGTCACCAGTTCAAGTGAAAAGCGAGGATGAGGAAGATAAAGCAAACCAAACAGAATCTAGAGATGTGCCAAGCAGCAGCTCGGTTGACCAGATGAAATCAGAAACTGATGATGAGGACTGCGGAGAAGAAGAATCCAGTAGGAACCCAAATCTAAACCGCCATGGAGACGCTTCCAACTCTTCAGAGACAGAAGTTAGTGTGGAGGATGACGATGATGATGATGAGGACTATTCTGACTCTCAGCTCAAACCCTTGTCAGACTCGGAGGCTGAAACAGAGGAGAGTGAAGATGACTGTGAGGAGAGCAGTATTTCTGAGTTGGATGGAAAAACTTGTAGAAAGCCTTGGAGCTGCACTGAGTGTGGCAAACGGTTCGTAAACAAGCGCTCCTTTCAGAGTCACATGGCATGTCATCCAAAGATAAAATCTGATGTGAAAGTCCAGAAGGATCAGAAAACTTTCTCTTGTGATGTCTGTGGGAAAACCTTTAAGAGAAAAAGTCATTTGAACTTACACACAGTAATTCACACAGGAGAGAAACCTTTTGGTTGTAATGTTTGTACAAAAAGATTTGGTCGAAAGTCTCATTTAAACAGACACATGACGATCCACTCAGGGGAGAAGCCCTTTGAGTGTGATAAATGTACGAGGAGGTTCGCCAGTAAATGTCGTCTTAACTCTCATCAGAGGGTCCATTCCGATGAGAAACCGTTTGGCTGTGACCTGTGTGAACAAAGATTTAAGGAGCGATCTGCCGCGAACAGACATATGAAAGCACACTCAGGAGAAGATCTTATTAAACAGAAAGAGTTTGGATGTGATCAGTGCAGCAAAAGGTTTGCCACTAAAAGCTGTTTGAATTCACACCTAAGGATCCACTCTGGCGAGAAACCTTTTGTCTGTGATCTCTGTGGACAAAGGTTTTTCTACAAGGCTAATCTAAAGGCACATATAAGGATTCACACCGGGGAGAAACCCTACAGCTGTGATGTTTGCGGACAAGATTTTAGATCAAAATCACATCTAAATACCCACCAGAGGATCCACACCGGGGAAAAGCCACTGAACTGTGAAGTTTGCGGACAGCGATTTAGTCGCAAGTCGCATTTGACGAGACACATGAAGGTCCACACGGGAGAGAAACCCTATGGGTGTGTTCAGTGTAGTAAACGGTTCACCAACAAAACGGATCTCACCTTCCACCTGAGAATCCACACCGGAGAGAAACCATACGCCTGTGACTTCTGTGGGAAAAGATTTATGGTCAAATCGGCTGCAAACAAACACATGAGAGTACATTCTGGGGTGAAGCCATTTGGCTGCCATCTTTGTGGTCAAAGATTTACAGCCAAGCCCAGCATCAAGAAACACATGATAATCCATACAGGGGAGAGACCCTTCCGCTGTGATGTCTGTGGCTATAGATTTAACTTAAAAACAAGTCTGGACAGGCACCTGAGAATCCACACAGGAGAAAAACCATTTGGTTGTGATGTCTGTGGACGACACTTCAACCGCAAGTCAACCTTAAATACTCACATGAAAATTCATAAAGAAGGAAAAGATGCTTAGAGAGGAAAGGATAGTGGAAATATGAGTCTGAAACTCACTGAACCAATGAACTTTCAGTTTTGATTTTGAAATAATGTGTTTTGGAAAGAGGAACAATATTTCTTCATGGAAAATGTCAGTTCTTTCTGAGAACTGATGCCTTCAAACCTGTTGAAACTTCATGTGTGATCATGAGGTTGACTTATTAGTAACTTAACCGGGGAATTGGATCATTGATGCTTTTACTGACTGATTAGAATAGCGCCTAAAGGTTAAAAAAATTTGGAACAGTCCTTCCAGGATTTCTGACTTTCTTCGAACTAAGCTAGTTGAATATTTTCCTTTCTGTGAAACTGTCTGACTGTAATGTTTTTTCTTTTTTTTTGACCCCAAGATAATTTGTTTATGTGTTATGTTCTCATTTAGAGAACATTTGTTACAGCTTGTTACTACTACCACAAGGTGGCAGCATTGTATAAGCTGTATGATTGGTGGAAAGGTTAGCACTGAAGCCCCTTTCTTCATTTTAACTTATATTTAACTTATAATATTTGAAGTTATTTGAACTTTTTATTAGCACTTTAATCTGGTTTTATGTTGAACCGATGCTAAATTCCAGCTTTTTGGTTCAGTTCCATAACCAGGACAGCTGTCATTTGTCTGAACGTAACATGCCCCCCTCAGCTGTGGTAATATTCATTCATAAATCTATATTTAAATATATTTAAATTCTGATATTTATAATTAGAAGAAGATTTATATCTAAAACTCACATCTCAACTGCAGTGAGTTAATAAATAAAAACAGATGTACTTGTTTTTTTACGGCAGTGTAGTTCTTGCCAAAAAGATGATCTGGTATCGATTTGTTTTCCTCTGTAGGGCTGATATGACCTCAAATCAATATCACGATAGAGTGGGCAATTTTACCTTAATAACAATAAATTCACTATAAATGCTTCGGCTCCTCTATCAGAAATAAAGGCAGGTGCAGGAAATGCAACTGATCTATTTATAATTTATTTATTGAATAAATCACCTTACATATTGCTTTAAATATTAAAGTATTGTATTCATTGAATTTTCAAACAGTCAACAATGTCTCATTGATCAGGAGAAAAATGTTACTTCGCTTCTTAACATTTTTGCGCAAAAGCAGTGGTGCCTTTTGCTCATCCTTGTACTCAACAGCCTAGCTGTGCTGTAGGTGGTGGAGGGTGGATGTGTTGCTTTATGTAGTGCTGACAGGTTTCAGGCAATCTTTGCATTTCGTGTTTTTGCTCAACATCTATGGTGCCACTAAACTGAGCATGCAGTGAGAACAATGTGCATCGTTTAAACTCGCTTACTTTCACTAAAAACTGCTGGAGTATCTTAAAAGGTAAGACACCAGCCATAGTTGCACACAGGAAAAACAGCAAAATTAAGTTTATTTCTTTTACCGACGTGGGAAAATCATCGCTGGTTATCGTGGTGAATGACAGTAACGGTAAAAATCCAGTGTATCGCCAGGCCTACTCCTCTGGGTTAATGCTTTATCTGTTTAAGAATAATAAAACATGATCCAATTACAAATGAGATCATCCTTCATTATTAAAGAATTGTTGTAATTAATGATATATTGGTCATATGTCAGCACACTGTTGTCTTTGTAAACAAGAATGGTTTGTTGCTATAGTAACACATTTTGATCGCTAATAATTATTGTTAGATAGTGGAGGGATGCTGGCTCTGATGCATTGATCAAAAACAAGTATGCAACTAGTTATGTGATTTAATGGGAATAATTTAGGGCCTAATTCCAGTAAACTTTAGTATCAGTTTCTTGTCAGTATTGCATAAATCAGCAGGTGTGAAAAAATGAAAGAAAGCAGCAGCAGAAAAAATTTAAAACATGCTCCGATTTTTTTTGTGGATGCGGATGTGCCTTATCGGGCACCGTAGTGTTTGGCGAAACCAATGAGCAGCGTGAGCTATGAACAGGCATGCAAGTGTTAGCCCAGCAGGCTGTGTTTGTTGCCGCTAAAGTATGGAGGACGAAGAAAAAGAAATTCATCCGCCTCCGCGGTCTTTAAAAGCAACCATTTGGAAACACTTTGGATTTTACCTTCAACCCGGCCCGGGTAAGAAAGGGCTTGACATGAATCATGCGATTTGCAGAGATTGCAACGGTAAAGTTAAGTATTGAGTAGTTGAGTACTTCAAATCCCCGTTCTCATCTCAAAAGACATCACCCAGAGTTTTTGCTAGAATTGGAAAATTCAGTAAAGACAGTGCCAACACGACCAGCCGACCAGCACACACTTCACCACTTCGAAAAACTGCCATATAATTGTAAACGGGCAAAGAAGATAACAAAATCCATCGCTTGTTTTATCGCAAAACAAAAAAAGCAGTGTTTTGCGATAAAATCCAAGACATGTTTTCTTGGATTTATCATGCGGTGTTTACATTATTGCAATAGGTAAATAAAACATTTACAATTATGAAGTCTTTATAAATGTACTCTTCTTTCATGCCAGCAGACTGGAATAGATCCTGAGAATCGTTTTGAATCGTAAATTAATTGTTTCTGAATCATTTGGATTTAAAAGAATCGGGGGAAAAAATCGAATGGTGACCCCAAGAATCGAATCTAAATCGAATCGTGGGAATCCCAAGGATTCACAGCATTGGGCAATGAAGAGTTATTTGATATAGAATAGTTATTCTCAAGGTTATTCACAATTTTCAGCATTTTTTACAATTGCTAAATCGAATGCCTGGGGTTGGAGGGTTTATTTATTTAAGTGATTATTAATGGCTAAAAAAAATCTGGCCTAATGAGACAGATCTGGATTTAATAAAAATGGATATCAGTTTAGGAGTGAAAAAGGTACACAGAGTAGTCTAGTAGAAAGTTAATTTTATTCCATTATTGTTGAAGTTTCCAGGGAGGAAAATTAAAAACTTTTTAAATTAAATAAATGTTTGAGAATGAATTTACTGTTTTCTCAGATTTTTTTCAAAATACTATTTACTTCTTATAAAATTCTTTTTACAGATTTTCATTTTGAAATTTCTGTTCTTCAATTTGAGGGTTAAGAAATGCATTGTTTTTAAAGTCTGTTTCACAGATCACATTTACTGCAAGCCCAATACAAATGCTTGCTCTACATCTTACTCTACTCAATAAAAATTAAAGGATCACTTTGTAATCAGAGTATAGCATCAAGTTAATTAAACTTCTGGGATATTGATTTGGTCAGGTAAGTAGCAGGGGTTTGTTAATCAGTTTCAGCTGCTTTGGTGTAAATGAAATCAACAACAGGTGCACTAGAGAGGCAACAACGAGACGACCATCAAAACAGGAATGGTTTTACAGGTGGAGGCCACTGATATTCTTTCCCCTCATCTTTTCTGACTCTTTTTCACCAGTTTTGTATTTGGCTAGGGTCACTGTCATTACTGTTAGCATGAGGTGCTACCTGGACCCTACAGAAGTTGCACAGGCAGTCCAACTCCTCCAGGATGGCACGTCAATACGTGCCATTGCCAGAAGGTTTGCTGTGTCACCCAGCACAATCTCAAGAGCATGGAGGAGATACCAGGCGACAGGCAGTTACTCCAGGAAAGCTGGACAGGGCCGTGGAAGGTCTACAACCCATCAGCAGGACCGGTATCTGCTCCTTTGTGCAAGGAGGAGCAGGAGGAGCACTGCCAGAGCCCTTTAAAATGACCTCCAGCCAGTCACTGTTGTGAATGTCTCTGACCAAACAATCAGAAACAGACTTCACGAGGGTGGCCTGAGGGCCCGACGTCCTCTAATGGGCCTTGTGCTCACTCCCTGGCACCGCGGAGCTCGATTGGCATTTGCCACAGAACACCTGAATTGGCAAGTCCGCCACTGGCGTCGTGTGCTTTTCACAGATGAGAGCAGGTTCACCCTGAGCACATGTGACAGACGTGAAAGGGTCTGGAGAAGCCGTGGAGACGTTATGCTGCCTGGAACATCGTTTAGTATGACCGGTTTGGTGGCGGTCAGTGATGGTCTGGGGAGGCATATCCATGGAGGGACGCAGAGACCTATACAGGCTAGACAACGGCTCCCTAACTGCCATTACATATCAGGATTAAATCCTTGCACCCATTGTCAGATCCTATGCTGGTGCAGGGGTCCTGGGTTCCCCCTGGTGCACGACAATGCCCGGCCTCATGTGGCTAGAGTATGCAGGCAGTTCCTGGAGGATGAAGGAATTGATACAATTGATTGGCCCCAAGGGTGTAACTTTCTAATGAAGTGTGGTGGGGAAGCTCTAAGCGTGGGGCTGATGGACCTACAGTTACTCAACCTGTGCACTTTCATTAGGTTTTTGTATTTTCCAAAAATGAGCTCAAACCCATATGTATTGAATGCTTTCCTATTGTTGAGAACAGAAGAGAATCATAACACACTAATATTTATATTTATAGATAGAGAGATGCCTTTTAGAGCATTATATATATATATATATATATATATATATATATATATAGGGACCAAAAACATTAATGTATGAAAAAATAAGAAATAACAGCAGATTCTGATGCCAAATTCAATAAATCATGCATCCCTAGAACTACAATTTCAATTCCATCCATCCAGAAAAATATGGATATTTTCTTGTAAACTTTCTGGTAAACTTGAAGATCTATTTTATTGCATGTTGCATATCCTAGTAAAACTGTTTCACCTTTAAATCTGCAGCTCTCCCTATTTCTCTCTGTGCTCTGTTTAAAAAGATTTATGAACATATTTACAAATATAATGATGCCAGAAACAAAAGTTCAAGATATGTAGAAGCTCTGCAGTCTGATTCTGTCTGTACAATAAGAAAACATGTTAATTTAAATCTGTAACTGGGAGTCATGGTCCTCTGAGAAGCCAAGCTTTATTAACTAGTAAAGAAGAACATAGCACTTAAACTACGTTTTCTAAAGCTTCTTGCATTATAATACTAACTTGTATAAACTGACAATCCGTTACCCTTTTTAGCTGAAAAAGCTGCGTATGTGTAACGAACAGATTTTTCGGTGGCATCACTAAATAAAAAAAATTTAAAAAAATGAAATGTGACCGCAAATCACAAGTCTCAAAGCGACGGATCCGATGATGTTACACCGAGAGGCGGGACACGGGAGAAGCTGGAGAGAGGAAGAAACACGGACTCAAAACGCTCTGAACACAGATAGCTGCACCCAACTCTGATACCTTTGGCTAAAGTAAATGAGCGGAAAGGGGAAAAAAACAGAAATCATTGTTGGCGTCTCTCCCCACCAGTCCTTCAGAAAGTTACGCCTGTGGTTACTTCAACAGATCAGGAAGCAGATTTCTCATCTCCATCAGGAATATATGCTGGATGCTGGTGGGGATTTTTTTAATATATCATATTAAATTAAGCGTTCATTTCGGCATGTTTTGCTCCTATAAATTTAATGATAATATCGCGCATGCTCTCCTCGAGCTCCGAGGATAAGTCGGAGCGCAGCAATACGGGAGGAACAGCGGAGGCTGTAGGCCTTGCTTTGTGCAGGAGGTCTGGAGCGGAGCGCTGGATGTGGGATTTCAGGGTAAAAAGAGAAGCATCACAAAAGATGTTTAGACACGTTTAGACATTCTTACAAATACAAATGATGTCACGTTTCCCATTCATGTGTATTGGGCTTTTACTTCCAGATATCTAAAATAACATCCTTCCTATCTAAAATAAACATTCTTCCCATCTAAAAATTAATTCTGACAAGGATGAATTCTAATTTCAGATCTCCATAATATAGCCACTACTAGTCATAATTACTATCTAAGATATCAAAAATGAATATAACATTACAGCTATCCAGAAATCCATTTCTTGACATCTAGATTATATTTCTAGTTGTAGAAATATAATTACAGATATCAACTATTGATATATGACAAGTTAAATTGGAATTTCAGATATCTAACCTTTAATAATGCCTATCCAAAATGCAGTTTTATATTTGAGACATCTGGAATCTATATTCAGTCAAGCTAATAAATGTCAAAGTGGCCTGCCATAGCCCTTCGACTGCGTTACCATCAAGCATCATGGTAACTTTTCTTTCGCAATCGAAGGTCATTCAAACTATCAATTCCGATTGGTCAAAATGATATAATACCCGCCCTCTTTTTTACCCACGTGACCACACGCTTTTCTGACTGCATCTCGGGCCTGTCAGTCAGAGCGGCTTCAGCCAATCAGGCGCCCTGTCCTCACGTCACAGTCGCTCACCGGCAGCTAGTGCTAGAACCCAAGATGTCCGCTATGTTCCCCATGTGTGTGAGAGCCAGCCGGAGCCTTTTGCGAATCAGGAGCGAGACGTTAGCTGCCTCCGGCCCGCAGCAGCTCCTGGATATCATCCGGACTCTCTCCACTGAGAAGAACCCAGCTGCCACTGGAGGTGCCACGGGGGGCTTAGCTCAGGCTATCCTCCAGGAGAAGCTTCAGCAGCAGAGTCAGGTGAGGGGCGCTCATTTTACTCTACGGGTAGTAACATCGGCGGGGTTGGTGCTTTTCATTGGCATCTCCGCCCAGCTGAGCTGCTCCAGGGATTGTAATCGAATCATCCCCTCGTCCGTATCGGTCTGACAGTTAGCTAAACGTGATGTATGTATCTTTTAATGTCTGCGCTAATGTTTTACATTTTCGGCACAGTTCATCTTTCTTGTGTGTTTGTGTCTGTATCCTCTGACAGTTAGCCTCCTGCTGTTAGCCTCCTGCTTGCTAGGTCCTGTGTTAACATGTGAGAAAAGCTCCTATTCCCAGACATTAGCTGGCCTCTGCTTCAGAGGGAGATAAATGACCAAGGTTTGTTTTGGAGTGAAGGTCAGTGGAAAATGCCCCCCCTCACACACTCCACCCCTTCAGGCTTTTTGAAGGTAAAATCTTCTGTCAGTGAGTGGAGATTGAATGCACTAGCTCATCACAGAGTCAGTACCACTCCTACAGTGGAGCATGGTGATGGCAGCATCATTCTATGGGGCTGTGTTTCCAGTAGCAGGAGCAGGCAAACTAGACAGGATAGAGGAAAAGATGAATGGAGCAATGTAGAGAGGCATCCTGGAATAAAACCTGCTTCAGAGCGTTTTTGACCTCAGCCTGCAGCAACGACCCGGGGCACATGGCAAAAATCTAAATGGGTGGATCAGAACCTCTCACCAAATGTCCTGGAATGGCCTGAGATAAGACTTGAGTCCAACTGCCCCTCTGGTGGGATCTGATAATGGCTCTGCACCAAAACTAGAGTTGGACTGATATTAGTGAATCAGCAGCGGAGACCTGAGATCAGAAAAGACTCGTCCATGCTCCCTCCATTTGCTATCCTTCAATGAAGGAATCTTCAAAGTTTTCCAGGCCAAGGACCCCCAAAAGAGAGCGAGATGGAGCGGGGACCCATAATTATATATATTGTATGAAATTGTGTTATATCAAACTGGTCCTATAGTCACTCTACTACAGATGGAGTCATGTAACAGAGTCATTTCACCCCGGGATTATTAAAGTATTTCTGATTCTGATTCCTTGTTGATGGGATAGGTGTTGTGAATGAAACGGTGCCCAGCTTGAAAGAGCTCCTGTGTGTCGCTGAATGTGAGCATTGATGACTGAAAGACATCTTCTGCCTCTATTTATCTGTTTACTACAGTGTGCTGAATTCCCGTTAATGTGGATTTAAAGACATTTCAATTAGTGGAAAGAATTGCAGAGGGGACTAAAAAAACAAAAAACAGAAAAAAGTAATCAACCAAAACTTTTGCGACCCCACCATGCAGTACCTCCGTGGACCCCCTGTTAAAGACCTCCGCTTTAATGCTTTGTTTAATTTGTCAATGTGTTATTTTTGCCAGGTTTGCCAACAAAGAAAGAAAAAGTTTTTTTTTGTTGTTGTTGTTTTAAAGGCTCATTTTTTATGGACAGTAGGCTGACAGGTCGAGGGCAAAGGCCTCTGCACATGGGTCGTGTGCGCTAACCGCTGCACCACCAAAGTACGCCCAGGGATCATGATTATACTGATAAAAAAAATACATCTTGAATGATATTATTGGGAAATACTTGATTAAATCCAAAAATAAATGAAATCTTCAGATACTCACTGCTTTCCGTCCAAGCAGTCCTTGGATTTATACTGGATGTGTAAATAGTTGAGATTAATGCTCTAAACGGCATCATGTTCATCCATTTTGAGGTCACTATAGAAAGGAAGGATTTCATGCAGCAGCCTCTTTTAAATTAATGCCTTGCCTGTTAGTTGCTTGTTGATTGGATAAAATCAGAGTGTCTAATAAGTATCAGTACTTTCTTTACCTCACAAACTATTTACTCAGATTGTGCTAGCTGGGCTCCTAACGTACTTTAATATTGTGTTTCATTATTAAAAAAAAAAAATGCAAAAGAATACTTTGTCTGCAGTTGACATCCATGGTGGAAAAAAACACCCATCTAATAAAACCGATCTCGTTTTTTAAATTTTGATTGTCTGTGTAATACAGATTCTGGAATAAGTACTGTAATTATCATCACCCACCCCTTGTTGTCCCGCCCCGTCCGGTGTCATTCAGGAAATGGATATAACCCAGAGTAAAAATAGAGTAGAATAAGAATAAATTGTATAAAAATAATAATACTAAATAAATAAATTAAGATAGATATTAAAATTTTATGTATTTTAACAACTAACCAATTGAGTGTCTAATTTCTCCACAAAATTTATAAATGATTCCCAAGTTGAATAGAATTTGGATATAGATTTTCTCAAAGTGCATCTAAGCCTTTCTAGTTTTAATGGCTGCATAAGCTCTTTAATCCAATGAATATAAGTAGGAGGGTAGGTATCCTTCCACTTAAACACTGTTAACCTCCTTGCTAGTAGGGTGGTGTATGCCACCATATGTGTCTGAGGGCCAGATTTATCAAGATCCAATTTTGCGTGCAGTAATTTGCGCTCGCAAACTGGAATTTTGCGCGAGGGGCTGAACCATGGTTTGCGGGTGATTTAACAAGAGCGATTGCGTAACTGGTGGCAGGTGCAAAACTGTTGGAGACGCCCTATTTAAATGATGGTTTTTGCGCGTTTTGTGGTTTGCGGCATGGCGAGTTTGGAAAGCAGAAAGCGCAAAAGGAAATTCAACCCCATGGAAATGGATGTGTTGGTGGATGAAGCCAACAAACATTTAAGTGAACTACAGCAAAGAAGGGTGACTGTCACACAGAGGAACGCTATATGTGAACAAATCTGTGATAAAGTAAACGCTGTTGGTGAAACCTTGCGAACAGTGGATGAAGTAAAAAGAAGATACCAGGATATTAGAAGGCGAACCAAAGAAAAACTGTTATATAACAAAACATCTGCGAACAAAACAGGAGGGGGCACAGTAGATGAGATGCTTCTGACCAGCATTGAGGAACAAGTACAGCTGACGCTCTGTGAGGAGCAAATCCTTGGAATTGCGGCTCCAAAATGTCAATGCTGGATAAACGAAATGTTTTGATGATCGTTTCCTCGTTCATTCCAAAAATATTCACACGGAGTGAAAAAATGCGTTCTCTGCTTCTCCTTGCTTCATTTCGATGTCTCCTTCTTGCGACAATAACCGCTGCCATGTGTGCGCAATTACGCATACAGACCATTTGCACCTTCTTTTGAAACGTGTTAAATATAGAGTCAGATACCGTTAGCAAAATTGCTTTCAGGTTTGATAAATCACTTTGCGGGTGCTAAATTAATATATTTACATGTTCTCCTTCCACAAGACGCACTTTTGCGTGTAAACGCCCCATATTGCATATTCATTGCAGAAAAAGTACTAAATGGATAAGAGGCGCTATTTAGCACGTTTTAAAGACTAAATCCCTTTAGCACGCTGTTGATAGATCAGTTTGTACATTTTTTAGCATGCGCAGTGAAATAGCTCACGTTTTTATACACGCAAACCTTTGATAGACCCTGAGTGGCATGTAGATGCGCACTAGCTGGGGAGAAGGTTCTAGTGGGTATTGATAGCCTGATAAACCAGACTAAATGTGAGATTAAATGTATAATTTAGTCTGGCCCCCGATGAACGAGACATCGGAAGATTGTTGATGAGAACAACCTGTTGTTTTTCAAACCATGTCTGTTCCTATTGGCCAACGCTCTGACCAATAAGCGCAACTGACCACTCACACTCAAAAATGATTTTGGCCGCTGGCGGGTGGGGCTAGTTTAATAGGGTATTGAAGGATAGTAGCTAGTAGGGGTGTGGAAAAAAATCATTTTGGCAATATATGGCGATTTTTGGCTGCCTGATATGATATCGATCTTTTAGTTCCTAGTATCGATTTTTTTAAATGAACATTTTTTGACCTAAAACTGAGGGAAAATGGGCTACCTTTGTACCACCACTCTGGCAGATGGCGCTGTGGCGCCCTTTTGCTGTGAGGTGCAGCATATTATTTACAGTTGAGGCGTTCACTTAAACCCCAAACAACATGATTACCAAAATAACTGAACCATCGATTTCATCTGATGAACATAAACAGAGGTTGTTTTTTTATCTATGCATTTAATTTTGATAGCAGGAAAAAAATCACAATATATGGTTATAATGCAATAAAGTGATAATATCGTATCGTGACCCGTGTATCGTGACAAGCATCGTATCGCAACACCCATGCCAATACTCACCCCTAGTGGCTAGAGCATCAAATATAGATTTCCAGAAGCGGATGAGTTTTGGGCAGGCCCAAAGGCTGGTAGCTTCCTGTTTACATCCATCACAGTCTAGCTAAGGATAAATCTTAGCTGATTTCTCTTTAAAGTAATGAAGACGATGAACCAACACTGTGTCTGACGCATATTGAATAAGAGTGAATCCTTTTTACCACCAGCTCCCAAGTTTCCTCTGAAACAGACATCTGCATATAATTCTCCCACCGAGTTTTGGGAGCTTCAAGGGCTCCTGTGCTAAGGGTATTAATTGCATAATAGAGTTTAGTAATGTAGCTCTTCATCGTAGGGTTAAAATCAGGGACGTTATCTAATAGATTTTTGGACGGAAGAGTTGGAAATTGAGTGAATTTAGACTGAGTAAAATCTCAAACTTGTAAATGCCTTAAAAAAAAATGTTTTTGGTTGGTTAAATTTCTCAGATAGCTAATTGAACCAAGCTAAGGTTCCCTCTATATAAAGTATATATATATTTAAAATACTCTATAGTGTCCAAGTCTCAAAGGCATTGTCAGAGATGGAAAGGGTTTTTTTGAGATTGGAGAAGCAGAAGGCAGGTCTTTTTGAAAGCTTGTCTAAACAGATCCTGACTGAATCACGTATAACTGGGTTTTCTCTCATTTTAAAGTGGGATGAATGTATATTTATACCATAGAGATGTTTGGTTCAAGCCTGGTAGCTCTAAGTTTGTCTGTAGAATCAGTGAAACTTCCAGTGCTGCTCATCCTGTCAGCGATGCAGGTTGTCCGCTCCCAGTTCCCTGGTTTTCAGATGTCTGCACTGAGTTCCAGTGAATTTCACCACATTTATGTTGTGAAGTCAAATGAGAAAAGAGGAAAAAAAAAAAAAAAAAGTGCACTGTTTCACACGGACCTATAAGAGGGACGGACAATGGAGGAAGGAGCAGAGGAGAAAGCCGGACAAAAGTTTGGGACTCTTATGATTAGAGATCCTGTTGGACTTGTGCAGATCTGGATGAACTTGTAGACGGGTGGAGAGGCAGCCGGTAAGAAAAGCTGTAATTTATGAGATTGGACTGCAAAGTTACCTATGTTCCTCCAGCCTGGCCTTCAGTTTGCCATTAACACCAATTAACAGCTACACCTGAACTGAAGAGGTGGATTGTGGTGCTAAAGTTGTTTGATTTTATGCTTGAACTTATTCTAATTTTGTTAAATAGTAAATTTTGGTGTTAAGTTTATCTATAAATTAACTATCAGATTAAGAAGAATAACAATATGAAGCTATTTATAAAATAAAGTAGTATTTGTATATTTACAGGTGCTGGTCATAAAATTAGAATATCATGAAAAAGTAGATTGATTTCAGTAATTCCATTTAAAAAGTGAAACTTGTATATTATATTCATACATTACATACAAACTCATATATTTCAGATGTTTATTTTGTTTAATTTTGATGATTACAAATGACAACAAATGAAAATCTCAAATTCATCATATCAGAAAATTAGAATATTGTGAAAAGGTTCAAAATTGATGGCCCCTGGTGCCACACTCTAATCAGCTAATTAACTCAAACCACCTGCAAAAGCCTTTAAATGGTCTTTCAGTCTAGTTCTATAGGCTACACAATCATGGGGAAGACTGCTGACTTGACAGTTGTCCAAAAGACGACCATCGACACCTTGCACAAGGAGGGCAAGACACAAAAGGTCATCGCTAAAGAGGCTGGCTGTTCACAGAGCTCAGTGTCCAAGCACATTAATAGAGAGGCGAAGGGAAGGAAAAGATGTGGTCGAAAAAAGTGTACAAGCAAGAGAGATAACCGCACCCTGGAGAGGATTGTGAAACAAAACCCATTCAAAAATGTGGGGGAGATTCACAAAGAGTGGACTGCAGCTGGAGTGAGTGCTTCAAGAACCACCACACACAGACGTATGAAAGACATGGGTTTCTGCTGTCGCATTCCTTGTGTCAAGCCACTCTTGAACCACAGACAGCGTCAGAAGCGTCTTGCCTGGGCTACAGAGAAACAGGACTGGACTGCTGGTGAGTGGTCCAAAGTCATGTTCTCTGATGAAAGTAAATTTTGCATTTCCTTTGGAAATCAAGGTCCCAGAGTCTGGAGGAAAAGAAGAGAGGCACTTCATCCACGTTGCTTGAAGTCCAGTGTAAAGTTTCCACAGTCAGTGATGGTTTGGGGTGCCATGTCATCTGCTGGTGTTGGTCCATTGTGTTTTCTGAGGTCCAGGGTCAACGCAGCCACATACCAGGAAGTTTTAGAGCACTTCATGCTTCCTGCAGCTGACCAACTTTTTGGAGATGCAGATTTCATTTTCCAACAGGACTTGGCACCTGCACACAGTGCCAAAGCTACCAGTACCTGGTTGAAGGACCATGGTATCCCTGTTCTTAATTGGCCAGCAAACTCTCCTGACCTTAACCCCATAGAAAATCTATGGGGTATTGTGAAGAAGAAGATGCAATACACCAGACCCAACAATTCAGAAGAGCTAAAAGCCACTATTAGAGCAACCTGGGCTATCATAACACCTGAGCAGTGCCACAGACTGATCGACTCCATGCCACGCCGCATTGCTGCAGTAATACAGGCCAAAGGAGGCCCAACTAAATACTGAGTGCTGTACATGCTCATACTTTTCATGTTCATACTTTTCAGTTGGCCAACATTTCTATAAATCCTTTGTTTTTATTGGTCTTCAGTAATATTCTAATTTTCTGATATGATGAATTTGAGATTTTCATTTGTTGTCATTTGTAATCATCAAAATTAAACAAAATAAACATCTGAAATATATGAGTTTGTATGTAATGTATGAATATAATATACAAGTTTCACTTTTTAAATGGAATTACTGAAATCAATCTACTTTTTCATGATATTCTAATTTTATGACCAGCACCTGTAAATAAATGTAATTGTAAATATTTATTTGAAATGTATTTGAAAGTTAAGGAACTTAAGTTTAGTTACTTGTTCATTTAACTTTAATGACTTTGTGGGTTTGATTCACAGCGGTTTGTTTAGCGTTGTACAGTTTATCATTTTCTTTTGTAGTTTAAGTGGAACTAATTTATGTAAGCTAACATACAAATCAGTATTTATTTTTCTTCTTTTGGGTTTGTTTAAAGGTTTTTACCTGCTTCTGGACCAATTGTAAATATATCCTGACACTCAAAATAAATGGAGGATAAAAGGAAGAAAACTTTGTGGTCCTTTGAGTAAAACCCTGTTCAACAAAGTCTGCATCAATTTATCCATCCCTTTTCAAGTGGGGAAGCTGCATAAGATTAGAAATAACTTGACATATGTTTCAGGGCCAGCCGCCTCCGGAGGGCGAGCCGGGCGAGAAGGATGGAGAGCAGGCGGAGGACAAGAAGCAGAAGGAGAACACTGCCTACGCTAAGAAGATGGCGCTGCGGCTGGCCGGACTCATGGGGCTGGGTGGGGCTGCCAGCCTGGTTTATATATTCGGTGAGTGAGATGAAGTTGATCACAGATTAAATGATTTAGCAAACAAAACAGGATCGACTTGATGCTAAACAGCCTAAAACACACATTTAGAGAAAGTAATGTTTACAAAGGAGGACGTGGGAATGCTCTGAAGAGGTTTGTTGAATGGCTTTTAGAAAAGCCTAGATCAGGGGTAACCAATTAAACATCAGCGAGGTCCAAATAAAGAAAATCATCAACCAGTAAAGGTGCAGAGACATTTTTTATTATAATCTGTTACTTTAAACAGAAATTTAACACTGAAATAAAATGAGGTGTTTATGCATCCATGTTATACATTGAATTTTTAAATATAAAAAAATATAAAAAAAAAATAGAAAATTTTTCCGTTTTAGAATCTAAAGGGATTTTTGAAGTAGAGAACAACAATCATTCAGTTTGGTATATAGACAATTTCCTGATTCACATATTTTATTAATAACCTGAACTGATTGCTTTAGTTTCTTTCTTTTTTACTGTCTTAATGTTCGCAGTGGGTTTTATGCTGCCCTGCAAGGCTTTAAACCTGGGTTTGAATGGAGACAAAGCCATTCTAAAGCACATATCAAGGAGCTCATTTTGAGCCTGGATCCATATTTATTTTTGATTCTGTTCATGGTGGAGAATCCTGCTTCACAGCAGCAGGTTGAGTAAAACATCCTCTAAATGTTCAGGGTCACCATTTCACTTTTCTGTCACCAGTTCACCACAGTTCTTCCAGCAGTCCACACTTTCTCTGCTCTCTTTTTCTCATCTTCTTCTTCATTCCCATCGTCCGGCTTGCCACAGGTTTGCCCGCTGTGTCTAAAAGTAGCAGCAGCAGCAACCCAGACTGACAGCGGCTCATTGGCTAATTTGGATCACGTGTAGCCTGGTGCCGTATGCTCCAAAGGGCTTTACCGTATTAACAGGAGAAGTGGAGCAAGTGAAATTAGACACTCTCATAAGACAACATGTGGTAATTTATAAATGTTTTAGGTCAGGTTGGGTCCGAATTAGCCAGCAGGTGGGTCCGAATCAGGACCGCTAATCTGTGACGTCTGTTCTAGAAGCTAGGCTTGGCTAGCCGTAGCCTCTCGCTGCTCATTCTCTCTGGCGGGCTACACAAAATTAGTGCTGTCCAACTTCCTCCCCCACATTCAGCGTTCTGTCTCTGCTCCTTGGATCCTCCGCAGTTAGCCTAGCTAGCCTCAGTTAGATGTAGCCTCTCCCCGTTCTGGTTTTGTTTCCCCAGTGGACTTATCTGAACTCCTGCTGTGCTCTTCCACTCTCCTTTTGATCTGCTTTATTTCCCCGCTCCGTTGCGCTGTTTCCCAGCAAGTCTTAATATCAAGATATCAGAAAACTCCCATCACTATTACTGAATAATGCTTAAATGAGATATATATAAAGAAATGAAACTATTATAATCTCATAAGTCAGCATTATATAATCCTTGTAGTGGTTGGATGCATTCATTTTTTTTTCCTCACTTAAGTTTAAAAATAGAAAATGCAAATGACATATATTGGTTTCGGAAACTTTTCTTACCCCCCACTTTAATTTAAAGGGAAACAAAATTCAAAAAAATGCAGTAATACAATAAACAATGAAAATTCTACAAATAAACAAGCTGGTTTTACACAGTCGGCTAGTTTTATCAGTTAGGAGGAGACTTTAAAGAACAAAGTGATGAAGTGACGTCACTCTGAGGTGTGGAAGTACAAGGTGTAGATTAGTGGGGAAAAAAACAGACTTTCCAAAAATGAAATTCGATTAAAGTTCTTTTTTTTTTTTTTTTTTTTTTTTTTTTATTCAACAATTGCACAGTTTACATGAATACATGAACATTCGTCTCCATTGTGAAAACATTACACTGTGCAGTATCCAACATTGCTGGTGTTTTAACATAAAACAAAAAACAAAAGTGAAAATTTACATCATCACATTTTGCCAGGAAAAGTACAAATTTACAAAAAGATATAAAATTGTTTACACATGTTTACAGTTTTTGTTGCCTTTTGATTAAGAGAATACTTAATCCTGTTGACATATTGCTTGACCTCATTGTTAAAAGCAATAAAAGATATTTTGGAATGTGTAAACTTACATTTATGAATGTAGAATTTTGCCAAGAGAATAATCAGATTAATAATGAAAGTTTCGTTTGGTCTAGTCTTAATTCGATTAAAGCTGAAGATCAGAGATTAAATAAAAGTCTGGATGATGGGAAGGAGAAATGAAGCAATTCCTATTAGATCATTTCATTCCCAGTGAGCCGCTGCCCTGTGATATATTTGAATGTCAGCATTTTGAAAAGTGTTGCCAACGTCTGACAGCCTGGAAAACGTCTCTCTCATATGGCTGCATCTGCTCCTTTTCACATAAAGGAGTTTTGTTGTTAGTTTGTACTTTTAGTTTGCTGATGTTGGTGTTTCTGCCTAACCTGAATAAACACCAGGGGGCGCCAAAGAGCCTTCACTGATTCTTCACACAGAGGCAGCTCTCAGTGGCGGTTCTGAAGGATTTGAGTTTTTATATAAACTTTGATCTCTGTTTCTGTTTAAACATTTTAAAAATTACTTCTTCTTTTTTTTTCCTCTTTAGGCACAAATTCAGTTGATGAACAAGGAAACAGGGTGAGTTGACGTATCAAACACACACATTCTGGTCTTACTATATCTTGCATTCACTTCTATTCATTTTTCAACCTTTTCTGTGGCTGAACCCAGAAACCAGCCTAAACCTAATGCTACGTTCAGACAACAACAGGCAAAAACGCGCGTGCTGCTTCATTTCTGATGTTTGTACAAGTTAAGTTCTGGTGGGAAAAGTGGTTCTGATGCACGTTGGGCGGAGCTACCCTATCCTTTCTTTGCCTGTAACAATGGCAGCTATATTTGCTGTGATCAGTGGGTAAAATGTAGTTTTAATAATTTTTATAGTGAGAAAATCCACCTGAAAACTTCATCTGGTCAGTCAGTTCATCCAGATTACCATCCTGCCTTCAGAATATTATTTCTATCAGAGCCGCTCAGACCCCAACATACTGGCAGGGCGCGCATTCAACAGCACCTCTGGCCCGTTTGCCTCTTCGCGGTTCGCCATGGCGGCTGGAAGTTGGCTTTCATGTACGTAATCCAAACTGCAGGCAGCAGGATAATATAAGCGAACATGTTTTGCTGGCAGATTTCGGCCTTTTAAGTTAATTTAGGCGTTAATAAACTGTTTCAGAGGAGTGATCATAGTGATCTGTATCATCATCAGCAATGTGTCTGTCTCCCTGCCAGCTCCCAGATCAGCTGCTCTGATTGGTTGAAGTGGAGCGTTGAGCAGCAAAAGTTCAATTTTTCCAACTCCAGCAGCAGCTGCTTTTGCAGCGCGTTCTGCGCTTCAGATGCTCAGAATGCGCTGTGGGACATTTTGCTGCGCCTTGAGGCGCGTCAACCATTGACTTTGCATGTAAGCTAGCTGCTCCTCCTGCTTTTGGTGTGAACGTAGCATAACAGTGACCTGTCGCACCTTAGTCCTGAACCTAACCTCTAACAATATATAAAAAAAAAAAAAAAAAAAAAAAAAAAGGAAGACCAGGAAAACACGGAGAAGTCTTTTTTTTGTTTTTTAAAACAACGTTTTAGTTCCTCATTTTGATGATAAATGTTATGATGAAAAATGTATCAGAATAACAATCAACATCCCTGCATGTGTGACAGCAACATGTAAAGAAAATCTTGCTTTCAGGTGAAATCAATACTGACTGTAAAGTTGATTTGTAGGTGATAATATATTTAGTGAGACTTGCCACATTTTTTTCCCAAAATAAACGGCATACTACCCTGAGAATCCCTTAGAAACTTTTGATGAAGCCTCAGATTTTAAAGATGCACATCTTGACTAACTGCAAAAAAATTTAGACTGAATCAGTTGGAGCCGATTTGATCAAGAAAAACTTTAGTGTAATTGTGGCAGGTAGTACCAAATATGACGCTCAATAAAAAAATAAAAAAGCAATTACCATAAAATAATTGTGTTATTAGTGACTGTAACTAACTGCAATCGACATGTGAGGTAAAGATGCTGGAAATAAAAAGCATGACTTCATCTTAATCCGGCTCCAGAATCAGATTCAACATCCAAGCAAGAGTCTGAAGAGTCTTTTTCTTTTTTGTCATCTCCGCCCTTTAAACTTCCAAGGTCCCCTGGATGGTTATTTTTCATGGCTTCAGCTCTTCACTTGTAATCCACTACGCTAAAGAGACAAAGAAAGAAAATAGAACGTTCTCTGGTTCTGTCGAGGAATCAGGTTCTTTAAGCTGAAAAGACGCGAGGTTGGATTCAGGTCTGACTGTTGTTCCTGTCAGAGGCGTCGCTGTGGGAAAGGGAGAGGACCCACTCAGCCCCCCCGCCCCACCCCCGAATGGGATCAGACCGGCACACTTGGCAGATAACTGAGAACTTCAGGTCTTCACACTTCCTGCTCTAATGAAAGCAGCCGTGAAACAAAATGACCTGTTTCTGCAGGATTAAAAACACCAAGGCCCAATTATCTGTGCTCTGGTGCTGAACTGGTCCTGAGGTAGAATCAGTACCAGTTCATATAATTTGATGGTTCCCAGTGAGACTTGACGGTCGTCCTCTGGGCTCTCTGCTGTAGGAGGCGTCGGTCTGGGACCAGGCACTTCAAAGGACACCGTTAGTCACATCAGGAGCCGTTTATTAGGCCCAGATGGCGCCGCTCGGCACACTTTTCACACCTCGCCGTGTCGCAGATTCCCGTCTTCCTGGGGAACATCTGCTGCGGCGGGAGGTCGGAGCTGCTCGTCTCAGACCCAAGAACCTGGAACTAAACCGTTCCATCCGCTCCCTAAAGCCAGAACCTGCTGTAAGAGTTCAATCATCTGAAACAATCCACCAAGTTATCCATAAAGATACTCAGTTTATGGATTTAATCTAAATCAGATATTTTTTATTTGCAGAAATGTGCTAAAAATATTTGATTTTAACACATTTATTCTGACCATAAATGTAAGATTTATTCATCATAAATTCATGAAATGATTTTAATTAAAGTTGAATGGAAACAGGCTGTTAGATGCTCCTGGTTAATTCAAACCAGGTCTTTTATCTGGGCTTGGGTCCAGTTAAAGTTCAATAATTCGGTTCCTGAGGATTCAGGTCCAAAATCCAGAGAATTCACAGATTTTAGTTCCACTACGTGCTCAAATAGTTGTCCAGAGGTGGGCAAGGAGACAACATGGCCGCCATATAAAACCTGAGTCATGTTTTTCATGCTGTATTTATGATTTTATTTTATCTGGCTTATTTGGGACAGACTCTAACTGACCCAGCTTGAAAACATGGATTTGATTTGAGTTTCAGTCGACTGAGCAGATTTCCGTCGAACATGTTTGTTTTACTAGTCCTTTGTTTGTTGCCATGACGACGATGCTGCTGCTGCTGTGTTATTCTCATGCAGAGTGTGAGAGCGGCACCTCCTGCTGCTTTCCCTGCAGTCGGTACACTCTTTATGAGCTTCTTCACACCTCGCTCTGCACAGACACATCGTGCTCCTGGCTTTACTTCAGCTCCACATGGTCCTCTGATGATGGGAAAATGTTAAAAAGTCCTACAAAATAAAAAAAAATACAAGAACTGCTGTGCAAATCTTCAACTGTTAAGTTTTAATTTTCCTGGGTCCATCATTAGATTCTGATTCCTGCAGAACCACTGAGTTCCAGCAGAACATGAACCATGGATATCCTCATAAGTGGATTCTATGCTGCGTTAAAATCTGCTGTTGATATTAAAGGGCATATCTGATTTTTTTGTGAATTTATTTGTTTTTTCTAACAGTGGCAGCCCAGGTGTAATTCCTGATGTTAGCCACCAGATGGAGCCATTCACTGCAGCAGCATTGGGCCTTCCTCTCACTCCTTCTCTGATTAAACACAAGTAAAAACAACTAAAACAACTATTGCAGAAAGAAAGTTAAAACTGTAAGAATAAAACAGAAAAATATCAGATTTTTCTAAATATAAACAGAAAAATCTCTGTTAATAAATAAACACACAGCAGAGACTTTTCTCACTAGAACGTCTGAAGTGGAAGAAACCAGAGATCAGGATTCTCGAGCGGAAGGGGAACAGGCTGATGCTGCATTCAGGGTCATCACAAACAAAAAGCTGCTGCTTTTAATTTCTTCATGGAACAGAACGGTGCTGCGTTCAGGGTCTCCGTTTCTCCTCTTCGAATATCCTAAAATGAAAATCCTCTCCTTTGTATTGACAAATTTTAAATTGAATTAAAATCTACAAGTGTTTTTGTTTTTCAGCTCCTGCTGATATTTCCTTCATGTTTCAGTTAAAAGTTAAAGTTTTCCTCTGTTGTATTTCTCAGTGTCACTAAATAGATATTCTTGTTGGTACTGTGAGTTTACACCTGCCAGGTGTTGTCTTTAATTAAAACGGACGGATCTGATTCATCCCTCTGTTCTTTTTTTATTCTGCAGATTCCCGATGAGTTCGACCAAGGTAAGCTGCTTTCATCTGGATCCTCAGAGGTGTTTTAAATCAGGGTTTCCGCAGGTCATTAAAAATCATAAAATTATTATTTTTGAAATTAAGGCCTTAATTGGAAATAAAATTTATTAAATGTGATCATAGTGGCATTTAAAATTTTTTATAAAACAAAACAAAAAAACAGGTTTATACAAACAGTTTTATCAGATATAACTTGTTCCACATGTTTGCACAGAACTGCAGTTGATTGTAAAGCCGTGTGTTCGGGAAAAAATAAGCTCGAGGAGGAGAAAAGGCTAGATAATGTCTTGAAAACATGGCTATATATATATATATATATATATATATATATATTAGGGATGGAACGGTTTATGAAAACCGTCCGAACCGTTCGGTTCGACTGTCTCGGTTTGGTTCGCGTGTGTTTCGTTCGGTTCATGCGCTGCTCCTTTTTCTCATAGGCGAAGCGTTTACACTCCAGAGCAGAAGGTGGCGGTACTGCGACCAAAGCCAACCGCCAGTAGTAAACAAGAAGAAGAAGAAGCGAAGCAGCGTAGCCAGGTGTAGCAGAAAATTATTAGTTGTTGTGGAGAATTGTGTGGGTATGGCGAGTGGGAAAGAACAGGAGTTGGAAGACGCGCCAGCAGCACTTTATAGGTCTGCTGTATGGGACCACTTTGCATTTAGAGTGACCTACGATGACGGCGGAAAGAAAGTGGTGGATAAAAGTGCAACAGTGTGCAAGCATTGCGCAACACGTTTTGTTTATGCTAACAGCAACATGACCAACATGTCAGGCTAACAATCAACATATACCGAACCGAACCGAAAACAGTGACCACGAAACCGTGAACCGAACCGTGGATTTTGTGAAACGTTCCACCCCTAATAAATATATACATATATATATATATATATATATATATATATATATATATATATATATATATATATATATACACAGGTGCTGGTCATAAAATTAGAATATCATGAAAAAGTAGATTGATTTCAGTAATTCCATTTAAAAAGTGAAACTTGTATATTATATTCATACATTACATACAAACTCATATATTTCAGATGTTTATTTTGTTTAATTTTGATGATTACAAATGACAACAAATGAAAATCTCAAATTCATCATATCAGAAAATTAGAATATTGTGAAAAGGTTCAAAATTGATGGCCCCTGGTGCCACACTCTAATCAGCTAATTAACTCAAACCACCTGCAAAAGCCTTTAAATGGTCTTTCAGTCTAGTTCTATAGGCTACACAATCATGGGGAAGACTGCTGACTTGACAGTTGTCCAAAAGACGACCATCGACACCTTGCACAAGGAGGGCAAGACACAAAAGGTCATCGCTAAAGAGGCTGGCTGTTCACAGAGCTCAGTGTCCAAGCACATTAATAGAGAGGCGAAGGGAAGGAAAAGATGTGGTCGAAAAAAGTGTACAAGCAAGAGAGATAACCGCACCCTGGAGAGGATTGTGAAACAAAACCCATTCAAAAATGTGGGGGAGATTCACAAAGAGTGGACTGCAGCTGGAGTGAGTGCTTCAAGAACCACCACACACAGACGTATGAAAGACATGGGTTTCTGCTGTCGCATTCCTTGTGTCAAGCCACTCTTGAACCACAGACAGCGTCAGAAGCGTCTTGCCTGGGCTAAAGAGAAACAGGACTGGACTGCTGGTGAGTGGTCCAAAGTCATGTTCTCTGATGAAAGCAAATTTTGCATTTCCTTTGGAAATCAAGGTCCCAGAGTCTGGAGGAAAAGAAGAGAGGCACTTCATCCACGTTGCTTGAAGTCCAGTGTAAAGTTTCCACAGTCAGTGATGGTTTGGGGTGCCATGTCATCTGCTGGTGTTGGTCCATTGTGTTTTCTGAGGTCCAGGGTCAACGCAGCCACATACCAGGAAGTTTTAGAGCACTTCATGCTTCCTGCAGCTGACCAACTTTTTGGAGATGCAGATTTCATTTTCCAACAGGACTTGGCACCTGCACACAGTGCCAAAGCTACCAGTACCTGGTTGAAGGACCATGGTATCCCTGTTCTTAATTGGCCAGCAAACTCTCCTGACCTTAACCCCATAGAAAATCTATGGGGTATTGTGAAGAAGAAGATGCAATACACCAGACCCAACAATTCAGAAGACCTAAAAGCCACTATTAGAGCAACCTGGGCTATCATAACACCTGAGCAGTGCCACAGACTGATCGACTCCATGCCACGCCGCATTGCTGCAGTAATACAGGCCAAAGGAGGCCCAACTAAATACTGAGTGCTGTACATGCTCATACTTTTCATGTTCATACTTTTCAGTTGGCCAACATTTCTATAAATCCTTTGTTTTTATTGGTCTTCAGTAATATTCTAATTTTCTGATATGATGAATTTGAGATTTTCATTTGTTGTCATTTGTAATCATCAAAATTAAACAAAATAAACATCTGAAATATATGAGTTTGTATGTAATGTATGAATATAATATACAAGTTTCACTTTTTAAATGGAATTACTGAAATCAATCTACTTTTTCATGATATTCTAATTTTATGACCAGCACCTGTGTGTGTGTATATATATATATATATATATATATATATATATATATATATATATATATATATATATATATATATATATATATATATATATATATATATGTGTATATATGTATATGAGCATTAAATTAGAATTAGTCATTCCTGTATAAACCCTGTAAATCTGTTCAATTCAATTCAGTTTATTTATATAGCGCCAAATTCACAACACATGTCATCTCAAGGCACTTTACAGTTCAACCAGATCATACAGTCAAATTGATACAAAGTTTTCTATCTAAGGAAAACCAGTTGATTGCATTGACTCATTGACTCAAATACAATCCCCCACACTAAGCATGCTTGTAGCGACAGTGGAGAGGAAAAACTCCCTTTTAACAGGAAGAAACCTCCAGCAGAACCAGGCTCAGTGTGAGCGGCCATCTGCCGAGGCCGACTGGGGTTCAAGGAGACAGAAGCAGAGATACAAAAAGCAGCTGTAAAAGGCGGCCCCGTCCAGGAAACACACAGCCAGGCAGACGAGCTCCAAGGCAGCTCCCATGCCAGAGGACGAAGAGAGCACATCCACTCAGTCACGGTCAGAGAAACAGGACCACACTGGAAAACAGGCCGATCTCCAACATCTATAAACAAGGGTGTTGATAGAAGCAGCACAGCTGATGTTTCTCTCCAGGATGGAGTCACAGCCAAACAGGAACAGACGAGGCAAAGCTACTCTGAGGAAAAGCAGAGAGAGCAGAAGGTTAGAGATTGAACTAACAGATTCTGCAGAATAGGAGAACAGAGAGAGAATGAAGCAGAATGATGAAATGGGGGTCCCTATGTCCTCCAAAAGTCTAAGCCTATAGCAGCATAACTATAGAGATAGCTCAGGATAACCTGAGCCACCCTAACTATAAGCTTTATCAAAAATGAAAGTTTTAAGCCTAGCCTTAAAAGTAGACAGGATGTCTGCCTCACGGACTAAAACTGGTAGTTGGTTCCACAGGAGAGGAGCCTGATAACTAAAAGATCTGCCTCCCATTCTACTTTTAGAAATTCTAGGAACCATTAGTAAACCTGCAGATTGAGAGCGAAGTGCTCTGTTAGGAACATAAGGAACAATCAGATCTCTGATATAAGATGGAGCTTGGCCATTTAAGGCTTTATATGTGAGAAGGAGGATTTTAAATTCTATTCTTGATTTAACAGGAAGCCAATGAAGAGAAGCCAGGATAGGCGAGATATGATCTCTCTTTTTAATTTTCATTAGAACTCTGGCTGCAGCATTTTGGATCAGCTGAAGGCTTTTAACTACAGTTTGTGGACTTCCTGATAGTAAAGAATTACAATAGTCCAGCCTTGAAGTAACAAATGCATGGACTAGTTTCTCAGCATCACCCCTGGACAGGATATTTCTAATTTTTGTAATGTTCCTCAGATGAAAGAAGGAAATTCTAGAAACCTCTTTGATATGGGATTTAAATGACAGGTCCTGATCAAAAATAACACCAAGATTTTTTACTTTATTATCTGAAATCAGTTTAATCCCATCCAAATGAAGTGACTGGCTAATCAGTTTCTTTTTCAGAGACTCTGGTCCAAAGACTATAACTTCTGTTTTGTCTGCATTCAGGAGCAGAAAGTTAAGAGTCATCCAGGTTTTTATGTCTTCAAGACATGCCTGTAATCTATGTAATGGGTTAGCTTCATCTGGATTTATAGACAGATATAGCTGGGTATCATCAGCGTAACAGTGGAAATTAATCCCATGCTGTCTAATAATTCTACCAATTGGGAGCATGTATAAAGTAAAGAGAATTGGTCCTAGCACTGATCCCTGTGGTACTCCACAGGTAACCTTTGAGCGTGTTGAAGATCTATCATTAACATGAACAAACTGAATTCGATCAGATAGATAAGATTTAAACCAGTCTAGTGCTGTTCCTTTAATTCCAACAAAATATTCAAGTCTTTCTAAAAGAATATTATGGTCAACTGTATCAAATGCAGCACTAAGATCCAACAGGACGAGCACAGATACAAGTCCATTATCTGAGGCCATGAGAATATCATTAGTGACTTTCACCAGAGCTGTTTCAGTGCTATGATGAGCTCTGTTGTAACACTCTGTTTGTTCTGGGATGATGGCATCCGTCCATCATTGAACTGACTCCCCCTTTAGCTCTAAGCCTAAAGCCATTTTCTTTCAAACTAAATAGAATATAAAATTTTTTAAATATCACACTTCTGTCATTTTGCACATCTCCGATGTTGCTGCTAATTTTAAATATTCATTACTGTAAAAATGCCGTAGATTGGTTATTTATTCTCCAGGTGCAGCTTTTATATTGTTAAAACATTTTACAGTACAGTAATTTATTGTTTATTATTAACTCTTAACTATCATGTTATTCTTATACGTTTTTCTAAGGTCCACATTTGTGACCATTTTTGTCTATAAC